GGAGATGTAAATGTTTCACAGCACAGCAGGGAGCTCCAGAGCGGGGGAGAGACCTCGCTTGGATAAACAGCTTTTACGTTTTTTTTAAGTGTTTTTTAAAAAGTGTTTGAACATTTGATATCAAAGCAAATATAAAAAAATATATATATATAGCAATATTCTGCCGAAGTTCTGTATTTAAAAAAGATTGACACCAATTGAAAAGAAAAGTGACAGCCGCTCTGCCAGAATGATTGACAGGACCCAAATTGAATGGTGCTTTTCGAAAGAGTGATGAGAAAATAACCGCCTCGGGTGGCAAGAAAAGAAGTTTCTAAAGTCTTGGGATCTTCAATGAGATTCAGTCATTTTAGTCAGTTTATGGTTTAAACTACAAGCATAAGAAAGAAGTGAAATATCAGTGTATTAAATAGGCCTATCAGCAGCATTTAAGACAAAGCACTGTATTAAAGGGAGCTTTACAGTTTTGCATTTTGCTAGGAGATCTTTATGGATGTTCGAATGATTAAATAACGCCACAGTCACTAAGATCCTTTAAAGGTTGGGTAGGTACGTTTGAGAAACCAGCTCGAGTGCGCTAGAACTTGAAAATACACAACCGGAAAAAATCTGCCACTTCCTCACAGAGCCCCTCCTCCAACACACACGAACGCGCACATGACCAATGAGGGCACGAGATAAGTTTGTGCACAGATGGAAGGCTGACAGGCAGGTAGGCCATCCAGTTACTTTAGCCGGGCCGGCTCAGATGATTGGTCGTGCTTTTTACAGTACCACGGCTTCCACAGATGACATTTTTTAATGGATTTTTTGTCAAAGCACTTAAGATATTCATTGCTATCGGGATGTTAAGAGCATTCCATGGAATATAACAAAGTGTATCTCGAGCCGGTTTCTCAATCTTACATATCCCACCTTTAAGTAGCTGTTCTGTTTCATCATATCACATGACCTTTATCAGCAGACGGAGTTAGTCCATTACGGTACTTTGAAGTTGAGTTTAAAATATATTCTCTACCTTGGGAATAGTTGTTACAGTATTTAATTATTATTTTTGATGAGTTAACAAGTGACAGATGGGCGGCAGATTAAATGTAAAACCAACATGAAGTGGTAGGCCTCCACACAAGCCTGAACAGAAGCATCTGCATTTTTTGTTTCTCCGTTCATTTTTAGAAATGTTGTTTATTTATGCTTATTTTCTTGTTGAGTTAGAGGAGACGATCAATGGCACTCGCACGTCTGTCCATTGATTTAGAATCTACAGCCTTAGATTAGTTTAGCCTAAAGCTTAAACACAGCTAGCCTGCCTGTAATGAAATCTGCGTATCAGCACCTCCAAAGCTCACTAATGAACATGTTTCATCTGTATAAGAATCAACACTCTGCGGTGAATTTTGTCCATTGTCATTATTATTTTTAAAGACGTTTATTTTTAAAACAGTTTGATCAATAAATTGTCAGAAAATTGTGACATATTTTAATTTCCAGCTTCATAAAGTCCAAAGTTAAGTCCTGTATGTCTGTCCAAATCCCAAAGTTTAATATGATATAAAATGATATTAAAGCTGAAAATTGACATAATTTGAGAGGTTATAAAACGGCATTATTTGCATTAAAAAATCACTTAAGTTGATCGTTTATCGCTTTTTCTCCTGTTTGATTATTGGTTGACTGATCATTGCAGTGGAGACTTCAGGAAGTAAAGTGGCAACACATTTTACACTTTGGCTTTTGCACAGATCAAACAAACAAGATGGGTGTTGGTGCTGGCAGGCAGATTTGGTTTCCCTAGGACAGAGCGAAGCTTTCTGTTTCCACTCTTTATACTAACAAAAGATAGCGTGCTGCTAGGTGTAGCTTCATATTCAATTGACACTTAAACTGTAAAACTATTCATTTGATTTAAATGTAAGAGCCTTGTCTTTACCACTTCTCATGCAAAGGTACATAACCACTTGCTGATAAACCTGATAAACCACATATTTCAAACACTTTAGTCAATATATCATGCCAGATGGATTGGGCATCCATTGAATCACTTTTATTAGAGATGAAGTGGTGATACAGAAGAGCAATATCAGACATTTGTATGTTTGAAAGTGGTGTGGGAGAGCGGCTGGTCTGAAGAGGCTAGAGGTGGGTTTTGATCTGCTTAAGTGGACAGTGTTGGTCTAATCCTCCGCCCTCTGTGGTCTGAGCGACCGGCCTCTCTCTCCCACTCTGTGTCTGGCTCTCTCTCTCTGCTGGAGCCCTGACAGCTCCCCACGGGGTTATTTAAGTGCATCTTATTATCTAAACCCCATTATTCCCGCTCCCCTTTGCCCTCTTCAGCACCAGTGGTTAGACCTTACAGGTCAGATGTATTCCTCATGACGATGATCAGTTAATGGCCGAGTGGCTTCGCTGCACAAACAGCTGCCATAACTCGAGTTTTTGAATTAAGCATTTACATCGTAATCTACAGTATGTGTTGACTCAGCACATTTCTGATGTAAGAGAACTTGGCAGTAATTTAATGAAAATTAAATGAGACTTTTGCTGAACAGCAGCCACCGCTGATAGAGTTGGACTTGTGGTAAATACTAAACTCAAAGTAGTACAAGTGGAGAAGAGTTTTTAAAGTCATGCAGTGAAGTGTGTGTTGGATGCATATACATATATTATTGATCTTGTGGGAAGCTGTATAAATAACATGGCCCTGCATGTGTTATATCGCCCCATTTTGATTCCCAACACGTCACATATAGACTTACTTTAAATCATGTAGCGGATGTTGACAATTCAAACCAAACTATACGCCAGTTTAGGCAACATAACAACTTGGTTGTGTTCAGTAAACGATTGTGGATTTGGTTCACAAAAGTATGCTTATCATAGTAAGTAGTAAATGTAAATAGATCATCGGTTAACTTTTGATTTGACATGGGACACAAACTCGAGTCCCCTTGGTGAAAGTCATGTTTGTTTCACTCATCCGTTCACTCTCTGTAGTCTGTACTTTTTCGCAGTTTCTTCTATGCCCTTCCCCACCTGATTTCCAAAGTTGTTTGCTCTTAGCATTTGATATTGCAACGCCATGAAAAGACAAACAAAAAGCTTACAAATGTGTAGATAACACACATAACTGCTTTTTGTTGCCTTGATCATCAAATACTATTCAGTCATATCAAGCTGAATGGTCAAAGTTTTCCAATATATGCACTGTAGGCTAATTGTCACACCGCACCAAAGAAGGCTGTCGCGGCAAACCCCCCAGTGTGTTGTGCTTTAGTCAATGTTTCAGAAGTGCCAAAAGGAAAATATAGAAGCCCTTCCAAACACTTGTTTGTATGTAACAGCAGAGAGCATACTGTACTTTGAGGGACTGTTAACCTATACTTTTTAGTTCAATCGATTTTATTAAGTTCTATTAAATACAGAGCTACTGCCAATAGATACTAAGCTTGAAAAATAACTGTTACTTATGACACACATTACATTATCATTAACATGTTATCTCTTGCTCGATTAGATAAAGATTGCTAGATATGAAGAGCAGAATAAAAACAAATAGCATACATATCACCCCCGTAAATCTGTGTGATGTTTTAAACAAACACCATATAACATGTTAATTAGAGACATGTAGAGTTCCTCCTAAGGTTTTTTTGTATTACCTTCCAGCCTTTGTGCTGAGATAAGCTCACAAGCTGCTTAGTGTAGCCTCATAGTAATAATAGATAAGAGAGTGGTAATGATTTCTCATCAAACTCAGCAAATGAAGGTATTCCCCAACATGTTCTACTTCCCCTCCAAACCCTTCATTTTCACCAAACAGAAACGTTTTCATAAAATCACCGTGAGTTCAGAATGAGGAGCGTCAAACTCTGAGGGGGGTTAAAACAAAATAAAAAACATAAGTTCAAGTTTTCTTCTGATTTCATTTCCCTGTTTGCATGCAATGATCCCATACTGGAGGTCACAGATTAGACGTCTTTCTTGATATGGCATTATGCTGGAAAGCTGTTATAGTGCTTTCTATATTTTCTAAGTATAGTCTTTTTGTTTTTGTTAAAGGAAAAACTATACATTCATGCATCTCTGAGTTGAAGCTTTTTAGGCTGCCTCTGGAGAGTAATGGATGGACCTTTAAGTACATCTAGCCAATTTCCTCTTGTACACATATAGCGATATGTGTACAAGAGGAAATGCTTATCGACACATATACACACACACGCGCGCACGCACACACACGCACGGAAACACAGGGCAGTACACTGCAGGCTCCCAGATTTGCAGAGGTGGTTCCTTTGTTGTGTCTAATCACTACCTGTCCATTCCAGCTCCACTTGTAAACAATATGTTGTGATGGTGGGCGTGTGTTGTGTATCTGTGTGCGTAGTTGTGTGTGTGTGTTCTATTTTTAATGAGCTAAACCTTTTTGAAGACTTCTTGTGCTTCTTCGTCCCATCTCATTTTTGTATTATTGTGGATGAAAAGAAAGCAAACGCTAGCCTTTTTTCTGCAAATGCCACAACATTTAGTTACTGAGAAAATCATTGTACAGCCAATAAGTCAGAAACCCCCCAAAAAAACGATGGTATTGAATAAACAGAGTTGACAGAATTGGAGTTTCTTTATAATTTACTTTATGCGGAAATGTAAATGCTAAAGCAATTCAGACCCACTGGTTTGGAACACACAGTAATCTTCAGGAAACCTCAATCTTTTGAGTTTCAAATTGAGTGAGAGGTTACGCACGAAGTTTCAGAGGAAGTGTTTTCTGGGTCGGAAGAAAGAGCAGGTCTCAGTGGCTTTGTTAGGACAGCTCTCAGCAGGATTTACTGGCACCATAACACCATTTTCTCGTCCAAAGGCAGACGCTGTTTTTTGTAGAACAGAATGTGCTCGTGTGTGTGTGTGTGTGTGTGTGTGTGTGTGTGTGTGTGTGTGTGTGTGTGTGTGTGTGTGTGTGTGTGTGTGTGTGTGTGTGTGTGTGTGTGTGTGTGTGTGTGTGTGTGTGTGTGTGTGTGTGTGTGTGTGTGTGTGTGTGTGTGTGTGTGTGTGTGTGTGTGTGTGAAGGCTCTATACAGCTTGGGGGTTTTCTTGCCTCTTCTCTACTCCAAACTTCTATTTATTACAAATTGAATAATTTATGAGAACACTTTCGAAGTTTTGGTGACAGCATGTCAAGTCATTTTGTAAATATGTTATTCCTGTTGTCATACAAGCTCAAGATTTTGGTTTTTCTTTGAATGTTAAAGTGTCAATCCTAGAAGATTAAGTCTTCACTTTGAGATTTATGACAGAGATAGACTAGCTCTATAACCCAGTTTCCAATCTTCATGCTAAGCTAAGCTAATCAGCTGCCGCATGTTGCTTCATATTTACTGTACAGACAAGAGACTGGTGTCAATAATCTCATTGAACTCTCGTCAAAAAGGTGTTTTGTTTGAAACTCATACAAAAACTGTCGGTCTCGGATGGTACACTCTTGGTAGCTTTAGCAAAACCTCTGTACATGTTTAATGCAGTGCCATTATAAGTCGTAATTACAACTCTGTTCTTGGTGTTGGACTCAATTAGGGCTAGGCAATATATCGATTTAATTTATGATGTAAGACTGGATAATGTCTGACATTTTGGGTATCGTTATATCGAGTAAGTGTCGGTGCATTACATTAAAATCATTACATTTTCTGAGACCACCAGACTATTATTTCCCTTTACCTGCTTAGTTATTATATCCACATAACTAATGATTATTTATCAAAATGTGCACTGTGTAAATACTTCATGAAAGCACCAATGGCCAACCCTTCGATATTGTTGCAACATCAATATCGAGGTTTTTTTGTGACATTTGGTTCCCTCATACTACCAGCACTTGACTCAATTTTCCCTCTGTGTTGTCTTTTTGGATTTCAGAAGAATAACAAACCTGTGTACAGTATATCTTTGTGTTTGTATTCGGAGCTCAGCTTGCCTCCGTAACCTCTCCCGCTCATCCTGCCATCCTCTCTGGATGTTTGCCGCGATTACTCTCTCCCCTGTGTCGAGTGCCATCAGCATCACATGAAATCCTTTCAGCGGGTCATTATGCCGCGATGCTGCTAATGATGTTGGTAGTTGGTGTGTTACTTAGTTTTGCAGCTCCTGAGTTAATCAATACTGCACAGAGAAGCATCTAAACCCACACACTGACAGAATAGCACTCTAGACTGTTGATTTCTTTCTATGGGGTGGTTGAGTCATACTGTACATGTCGTTTGGCTGCTGCAGGTTTGCTACCTTGTTAATCTGAAGGCATTCAAGGCAGAACGAGCGTCTTCTTCTTCTGCTGCTGCGGGATGAGTCAGCCGCTCGGGTCCCCCCGCTGTAATGCTGAGGTCTGGGCCTCATATAAGGGCTTTTCCTGAGAGCTTATCTATCTGCAACGTAGATGATATCAGCGAGGCAGAAAGGGAGAAACAGAAAAAAGAAGATGAAGGAGAAATGATGATCTTAAGTGGAGGCTTCACACCCAATCTGTTTCCTTTTCCTCTCTAATTCAGTGATGACTTCTCTCCGTTTCTCGTATTTGGCTAAATTGCAACTACTCTCCCCCCTAAAAGAGGCTTCCTGCTTTTCCCCTCATCTTCATTCAACAACTTGAATGTCCTCCTCCTACTACCTCCCCTTCCTCTTCTTTTCAATGCTCTCAAATGTCAGCATGGCACGAGTGGGTGGCAGGCAGTGGCATCTGAACGAGCCCCGTCTCTGGTTTTGCTGCAGTGTGAGGCTCTGGCTGAAGGAAGAAGAAGCAGGGAGTGAATGAGCGAGGCAGTGAGAGTAGTTGTGCGTTGGCGGGTCGACAGCGGACACCTGACGTGGCCCGAGATGTGTCGCTAGCAGCTGTCCTTTTTTGGACTTTTCTCGTAGAGGAGGTTGGTTTATTTAATTCCTTGAAATTAGGGGATTGAATGGGCACAGCTGATGCCGCAGCACACACACAAACACACACACACACACACACACAAAAACATGCGCAGGTACACACTCACCAAAGCCACATGCACAAAAACAAATTCACACCCACAACATCTTTCACACACAAACACACACACACACACACACACACACACACACACACACACATCCAGAGCTATGACTCAGAGGGGAGCAGCTGGAGTGAAGGCTCCAGTGGCGGCGGTGAGCTGTCACCATCTGGAGGAGGATATTTCTCTCTGCCTCCTCAGCCAGCAGAATAAATCACCTCGCAAACAACTGTGTGTCAGCAGATCAACATGTGTCTCTGCTGTATGTGTGCCATCCGGTTTCCACTCATGCGCATGTTCAGTATATATCAACGTACCCAGTGGTGTGAAGTAACTAAGTAGAGTTTTTAAGTACTGTGCTGTTTTCCTACTTTGTACTTCTACCCCACTACAATTCAGAGGTATGTTGTGTACTTTAACTCCACTACATTCGTTTTATACCCTTAAGTTAGTTTGCAGAATTGATTAATGATGTAAAATATAAACACAATAAGACTTTAGATACACCTGAAGTAAATTTGCAAGCTACCTTACAGGATACAAACTAATATGTGCTGCACCTTTACCAGCTTTGATAACGCTTTAACGCATCAATATTTATAATCAAAACATATAATTCATATTATTCAGAATTGGGCTGATCTGCATAATGAGAACTTTTACTTTTGGTACTTTAAGTATATTTTGATGGCAATATTTTTCTACTTTTGCTCGAGTACCATTTTGATTGCAGGACTTTGACCTAAAACAGAGTATTTCTACACTCTGGTACTTCGATCTGAATACTTTTCCCGCCTTTGAACGTACCGAATGTGACGCTCTCCTCGGTTACTGCAGTCACAGAGTTTCCTTTCCGGGTGGACAGTCCGTGCTCGGATCAGAGCCGCCTTGATCAAGCTTTGACGGGCCGTCTCATCTAATAACGCGCTCTATTTGTCTGCAGGCTGACAGCCGCACCTGTGCTGTGGACGCCATCGAGACACACAAGTTTGATGGGAATATAGATATATTTGGAGAAGAGGCTTCGGTGCATTGGCCTTGTCAAACTCTTTTCATTCTGGGTGGATGTGTCAGTTCATGTCCTCTGTGTTGTCAAAGAGTTTGAAAAGGGTCAGAGGGATGTTTGTCTTTACTGATAAGTCTGATATCTGCGTGTCACAAAGGCCTTTCGTCAACCACCAGTGATATGAAGCAGCTAGTGTCCTGGAAGAACACGCACACAGGCATAAAACCTAAAAAATACATTTCCTTTTCTTGTAAGGACCCTGAAAACATTTCTCTGTCAGCTTTACATGTTTTCTATTTCAATTCTACATTAAAGCAAAAACAATCTAAATTTAGACCAGTTTTAGTCATTTCTGTTTTCCTCTGTGTTCTTTTCATTGATTTAAAGTGGGCATGGTGCAGATGAAAAGTGACTGTGTGCACCGATCAAAATGTGTTATGGGGTTGTTAATCATAATGCCAGATCATTGTCTTTGTTTAATACCTGCTAATGATTTTTTTCTTCTGAACCTTATCTTTGATCGTAGCTTATTTAGTCATGTTGGTCTAGAGAAATACTTCTAACTTGAAATGGCTTGACACAGATGTTTCAAAAGCTTCAATACAAGCCATTTTCCCAAAATGTGTAACACATAGATTGGAAAAACAGAGATTTAAGTCAAAAGTACATTGTAGTATTTCATTGAACCAACATGAATTCTACAAAGGTGTGATTTGTGGCCTTTCCCTCGGTACATTTGTCCTCATATTATTTTTGAACTTTCTTGCAAAGCAGAAAGAAGCCCTTGCTCTTTAAGACTGAAGGACCAATACCCAAACTTGACATTTACCACTGATGTCTTGGTTTCTTTCATTTTCACTCCCACTGAATGTTCACAAGAAACAGCGCATTGTGACACATAAAAAACACTAACATTTGCCCAAAACGTACATCACCAAGGGAGGGGGTTTAACCTTTGAGAGCTTTAAAATAGTGCAGAGTGTAATGCTGTTTCAGCTTTTCTTTTCTTGCCAAGGACTAAACTGTGGGTAATTTCGCCATCAAATGACTATCAATGCAAAATGTTGTCCTTCAAACAGGCTCCATGGTTGAACCGTAGTTACTAATAGTTTGTGTGTTTGCTTTGTTTGGCAGGGTCAACACAGGTAGAGCACTCAGTAACTCCGCAGGCTGCACTTAGCTGGTCTCCTTTGGGAAAGTAACACACACGGCAGCTCCCTGTGGTCAACCCCTATAAACACATGAGAGGGAAGGAACACAGAGAAACCATGAAAAAGATATACATTGGCAAAACCGCCTTAAAAGTCCCCCGAAATGGCGGCAAACATCCAAAAAAGAGGTAAGAGAGAAACTCTCAGACGCCATCTCTCCATCCGTCCTCATTTTGTATCTGTTTGTCCGTCCATCCGCCCACGGGGTGTCTCCTCTCGCCACCCAGTGGTGCGAACGCAGCCTCATCCCGCCTCTCCAACCCAGGAGTCATGCTGTCTCGTCATCTCATCTCACCGGAGTGAAAGCACTCATTATGTCTGACTCACAGGAGGTCACTAATGGGGGATTTTTTTTTTCATATCCCTGGAGCTACTTCACGTAAACTCGTCCTCTATCAGACAACAAACACCTGTATTCCCCTGCCAGCGCCTGCCAATCAAAAAGCTGCAGGAGTGGGGGCTGCTGGGTAATGCAGCACTGAAATGCCCTGCAGTCAGTTGACACACTCATTGAAACACTCAGTAGGCAGGTGTTGTTGTTATACTCACTGACAGCTTTGTGGCGGTCGCATGAAAAAATAAACAATATATTATCATCTCCAATAGACTTCCTTTTTGTCATTTAGCCTTTTATGGTACTGTGTTCAGTCAAGAGTGGAGTTTATGTAAAATAAAACATTAAAGGACAGAATGTACCACAGTTTTCACAGCACAAACCTCAAGTTACATTTATAGTAAGTTTTATTATTATTTGTTTCCATCTCTAGTTGTCATACTGTCACAAAACCTCTTGGGTACATTGGTGCCTTGCCATTAATTGTTCACATCCCTTCTTCTATACCACTATAGCTTAATTTGACTTCAGCCAAGAAGTATTAGTTGCATATACTTAACCATGCCTTTTATAATGGATAATACAACCTCAAAATGATCATGTCAGTCGTTTCTGGAAACAAACAATGGCGTAATTTGTCATATTGATCTGATGACTTGTAGACTCAAATGTTCTGACTCCTGTCACAGAAATGTAAATATCTCATGATATTTCTTTCTCTATTCTAGAGCTACTCTGCCTCTGACAAAAATGGCTTTCTGTCTCACAAATATGTTGCATCTCTACTGTGTTAAGGATTTTTAAAATTGGATTGTCAAGGTGCACATCCATAGAGGTTGAAATGCCTTTAATCACAACACCTACAGTAAAGAGAGAACATTGTGATGTATGTGTTTGGCCTGTGAATCAAATGATATCAGTTATACCCTAATTGTATTATTTTTGTGACAGTCTACAATTCCTTTTCCAGCTGAAGTGCTTCATTAACAAAATAAATACATTTGATTTAGAAATACATTCTGAGAAATAGCTATAAAGGGATAACACACCTGTAGTATTTATCATGCTTCTCAATGAGCTAGAAATGCGATGATACCTCCACTTAGTGACCTGAAAACATTGAAAGAGACCTGTCCCTGATTTTTCCCTCAGTCTTCTTCAGTCCCCACCTTCTGGTTCTATGATCGAGTTGAAAGAGAGAGAAGGAGAGGAAGAGCTGCGTGACGACATCTCCATCCCCTCTCTGCTATCTGTTATCTGGCTGCAGATAGAGTCATTAGCCTCCTTTCTCCATCTGTCCGTCAATACAGGGTCCATTAAGCCCCGCCGTGCACATTCAGATCCATCACGGCAACAGACATTTCCTCTTTTCCCACTCACACTTGCTCTTTTATTAGATTGAAGCCCAGGTAATGCACATACTCTGAAAATAGCCATCATTTTGCTGTCTGGCTGAATTACGTGTGGGGGGTATCGCTGTTCCGTAAATCTGAGACTTCACAGTCTATTCATGTGATGTATTAGAGTTCATTGGCTCATATTTCATCACAGGTTACACCCTCCTTCTTTTCTCTTTGGGACCAATCTCACTGATGATTGGGTTTCTGTGATGTGCTGCAGAGCTTTAATGCCAACAAAAAGAAACCTAATGCTTAAATAACTTAAAAGAAAGAAAGAGAAAGAAGCTCCGTTCCCTTTGCTTATCCCCGCCTGGATCCTTAATGAGAGATCTGTGTTTTGGTCCCATGTTTTTTCCATACAAAGCACTTTCCTACACAACTTTTCAGCTTTTATCACCCTCTCATGATGTTCTCATCACCGCTGCATGGCCACTCAGGGGGCATTCAAAAGATATGTAGACCATATAAGTCAATTTAGATAAGCATACACCCAAGTTACAAGCTTGTTTCCTGCGCCATATGCCCTGAACCAAATCATTATGTGTGTGTGTGTGTGTGTGTGTGTGTGTGTGTGTGTGTGTGTGTGTGTGTGTGTGTGTGTGTGTGTGTGTGTGTGTGTGTGTGTGTGTGTGTGGGTGTGTGTGTGTGTGTGTGTGTGTGTGTGTGTGTGTGTGTGTGTGTGTGTGTAGCTCAATGCTGGAGCAGAAGGAGGACTTGAGGAAGCGGCTGTCGTACACGACACACAAGCTGGAGCTGCTGCAGGGCGAGTTCGACTCCACCCGGCAGTACCTGGAGACGGAGCTGCGGCGGGCCCAGGAGGAGCTGGACAAGTTCACTGATAAACTGCGCAGGTAGGCAGCGTACTGTGCAACACGGTGCTCATAACCACTATACTTTCAATCAACATGTGTTTAATGTCTGAGAAAATGTACTTACTTTACATTTCTCTAAATCAAAGTAGAGAAAAGGGCTTCACACCATACTGCATAGTAAGGATACTGAAAATAAAAAAGGGGGAAGGAGGTAATATTAACGAGTTAAAGTGGTTATTTTTATGGGACAATTAATTGGAAGATGTAATTATTTTCTAAGGGAACTACATAGCTTTGCAAGGTGGATCTTCATCACACCGAAGATTAAAGCTATCACTTCGTACAAATCGCTATGTTGTTTTCCTCTAAATAGGCCTGAGTAAACTCGTAAATGCTTATGATTATACACTGGTTCTTGGCTATAATCAAGAGCATTTCCTTATTGCTAAATCCAATTGCAATTGTGTAATTTGATTAGGTCAGTCACTGCAGGCATTAAAGCGGTGTGGTTCCTTTAGCTAATAAAGAACATTTCTCCAAAACAGTTAATTTGTGACTTTAATCTTTTTGGGAAGAGTTTTTATTTTTCTATAATGTATAGATTAATGATACCTCAGAACATATTAGAAAATACTACTTTCTTATTAAGTACTTTAATCTAGAATTCCCTCTGGATATTGCTTCCCCTGGCTCAGAATGTATTTGTATTTTGTCACCTACAATGAGGTTTTAGGAATCTTTTTCTTTTTATAGTAAAACTAATTTAGACTGCTATTATAAGAGATACCTGAGTATATCAGGGAAAACATGCACACACAGGGGAGACGATGATGAAAATAGCTGAGTCCAACATGTAAAAATAAACAAAAAGCACCCAAAACAATCCAATCCCAAAAAAGGTCCTCTATTAAAAAGTTAAAAGATGAGATGAGACATTCAAGCTTTCTATCCTTTTTTAGTTTTTCACTCTATTTTCGGCTACTAAGTGCTGCGCTAAACTTTCAGTATTTATTTATATATACAGTCTATGGTATTTACCCATGGGTTTGCAAAGTTAGGTAGCCGTGTGTTCTGGTCCAGTGAGCAGCAGCTTTCAGAGTAGAGATGTGGGGGTTTTAAGCAGAGGCCCTTATAGCCTAAATAAAAAAAGACAGTATGTATTCATTCTGTCGAAACATAAAATTCAGAAACCAAGAGACACATTTTGACCTAATTTCCCCAGAAATGAGTACCAAATAATGAAAGTCTTTCTAGGAAACTTCCCTGCAGACTAACAGGAAAGGAGAACTTCACAACAAAACATTAGCAACGTATCTGCTTTTTGAGCCAAGAAAAAATAACTAAGTCTATGAATACCAAGAAGAGGAAGTATTTGTTCTTGGAAATGTGAGTTCTTGTGAATGAAGTAGTTGTCTCATCAGCAATTTGTAAAAGCTCAGGAGTGTATAGTGGCTTCTGCAGATGTCAAGAGCAGATTGTAATCTTCACAATGGTTTAATTGGAGCGGAGCCGAAATACATTGAAGGCAATGTCGTCTACTCTGCACAGAAATTGGCACGACAAAAATAAAATCAATATCACTTACGAAGGATTTATATAATTATGCACTAAGAATGTCACCTTGTGGTAGACCTTAACAGCCCTTCGCTACTAATGACATGTTTTGCTTATTGTTACTTCCCTTAAATGATTGACCTTCACACACTACACATGGTGATTGATTGGTAGATACAAAGTATTATTTAAGCAGAGTCAATCAATGCAGATAGCTTGTGTTTACCTTGATAAACAGTACAGATTAAGATATTTCAATCCATAACAATGCAATTTGTCAGGTCAAATGCAAGAGTGAAGAGTATTGCAGGTCTAAGAGTGATCAACACATTGAGCAGGGTTTTATAATCATGGTCAATAATAAAACTTTATTATTTGTGCTCAAAGCAAAGTAACTTTTCTTAAGCGCTGGGTTGCTGTGAGTCCAGTCTCTCCACCTGATAGGAAGATTAGTGCCCAAACATTGCCTAACATTGCAAACACCAACTACTAAGCCTTTTCCAGAGGAAGGATAACATCAAAACAAGAAAGTGATCAACAGTGAAGTCAACCCCTGGGGGCAATATGTGGCAAGTTCACCTTCAGGCAAACATCTAAACCCGCGTCAGCAATGTTTATTTACTGTCACTGCAGAGGGGAGATAAAAAAGTGTCCGCACCCTTAGATTTATGTTGGGGACCCCTAGATCCACGGGGCATAGGTAGTAGTGAGTGATCCACATTGTTACGTTGCCTTATACAACATTTCTCAGCATCTGGGTCCAAAATAAAAGCCATTAGCTTAATCATCGTATAAGTAGAGTTAGGTCAAGTCAGTGAGATGTGAAAACGACTTACAAGCTGCAAACTGAAACTTAGGTGTGTATCTCTAACTTGTGTCCTACTGAGCCTGCAATACTGCTTATGTTCAGTTTGTAGAAGTCTACTCTACACCGTAATGTAAGCTATTGTCTGGAAGTGAGCATTTATTGTGTCCTTTCAGAATACAAAGCAGCTACTCAGCACTGCAGAGGATCAACCAAGACCTGGAGGAAAAGATCCACAGAAATGTAAGTGTGTGTGTGTGTGTGTGTGTGTGTGTGTGTGTGTGTGTGTGTGTGTGTGTGTGTGTGTGTGTGTGTGTGTGTGTGTGTGTGTGTGTGTGTGTCGTCATGTGTAATGCCATGCTTGAGGACCTGTCGACACAGAAGAAAGAGCTTCTCAGAGGGTTTAGATATGGTGAAGAAAACTCGGAGAGACGATTTGAATATGACTGCCCCGCTGTTGGTACCATTGACGTTAATTACTGCCTATTACAATTGGCTGTCCTCCTTCCAATGGCAGAGTGATAGCAAAGCCATTGTTCCTCAGCGTGCCGCACCTCACTTCATTTGTCAGACGTAGCTTTAGCCGCTGGAAAGATACAATTAACCAGCCTGCCCGAGAACACTGCATGACAATCAGGTGTCGCTGCTGTTGAATGGACAGCTGAATGCGTTTGTTACGGCACGAGATAATAATCATCTCGGCCCTCCTCGTGATTACAGCTCTACAGCAGCGAGCCGAGGGTCAATAAGGAGCCGAGGGTCATCGAGAAGAAAAATTGTCTTTTTAAAAAAAAATACACTCCAACAGTTTTTATTCTCCCGAAGCGTCCAAATCAGCCGTTATTGATTCATCTCACGTACTCCCCCCTCCCAGGTGTGTGAGCGGTGCAGAGTAAGTCTCTCTGTAATTGTAAAGCGTGTTTACCCCAGAGGTGCCACAAACACATCTGACCCCGTGGCCCTGCACAACTATAGAGAATGTAATTACAAGACAGATAAACACAGTGATATACTTTGAGTGCTCACACAGCGTAGGGGGAAGCCTGAAGAGAGAAGACAAAATGTTTGCACACACTGTCCCTTTTTTTTGTATCGCAGCTGTCATATAACCTCTCACATTGACAGGATTTAAACACAGCAAACAATGGATTCACACAAACACCATCATGCATCATAAAGACAAACATTGGTTCTGTCCACATCAGCCAACAAGAGGAGAAAATGTACTCCTGCGTAGCGCTCTGTTTACTGACATCAGGGTTTCTTGGTTACCCATAGTAACCAACAGATTCAGCTACAGTATGTCCTGCTGCCACTTCTCAATGTGTGAAGTTTCTTAGTGTATCTTTAGTGTATCCATCCTGTGTTTATATTTAGAGCATGCATCTCACACACCATCTTATACGGAGATTATATTATATAATCATCTGGTTAGTAACTTTCAGACGCTGTTTTACCAAAACTTCATATTCACAACATGTTACGGTTTATTTGGTGGATTAAAACCTTCTTATGATTGATTGATTGATTGATACATTTATTTCGAACAAGTAAAATAAATAATTACAAAACAAAACAAATGTTGCAGTGCATAGTCATGTAAGAGAAATCAAAACAAAAAATTACATTTACAACAACAACAACAACAACAACAACAGCATTAGCAACATAAACAGTGCCACTAGTGTTCTCTGTGAGTGTTCCCTCACACTAGGGGGGTATACTACGAAGCAGGATTTTCGCTTAGCCGGCTAAATTCAGGGAAAACTCCGGCTTTCCGGTCCTACGAAGCTGGTTCTCTTTTTAGCAGGCTAGATCTCCATGGTAATTTATGCTGTGCGGCTAACCTGGTCGGGACCAGATTAGGTTGCAGGCTAAGAGCTCAACTCAGTGAAAGCACTGCCTGCTGACCAATCAGAGCTCAGTGTGCGGAGTTTCAAGCGATCAAGTCATATTACAGGAGAAAGGAAATACAGAAAAGCTGCCGTCGCAGGAAAGACAGCTGGCAAAAATCACCGACTGCGTGTGAACGTGAACATTAATAGAATATATCACCTCCCATCTTCAGAGCAATCTGACTATTATAACATTAGCGTTAAGAAAGCTTACTTAAATATCTGCCACAACATAAGTAACCGGATCAGAGTAACATTAAGTAGGCTACAGTCCGCGGCATATCACTTAATAATGTATCATATATTTTCTTATCTGAGTCAGCTGAGCCGTATCTGGCCGTGCAACACTCACAGTGTCACATACTGTATGCAGAAGTATTATTTTAAGCAACACATTAAGTTGACGAAACACTCGAGACAAATGTAATTAAAGTCAGATCGTGTTTTAGACGGGGCAGTGATATCATAAACCTGTTAATACGCATTCAAACACTTTTTCTTTTACCAGCTGTATTCACCTTGCAGGTGCAGCTATGTGGCTTTTATCCTGGATAAAGTGTTTAAGTCATGGATGTTTAAAGTTTAACTTCTTCATTTTTGACGAGTATTAAAGTTCACTTTTCATTCAGGAAGTATGACGCTGCGCTGTCAGTACGCTTCTCCATGTTTGTGATTGGTCGAATGCTCCAAATACCACCCCTTTCATGTGAACGCGCATCTAACTAGATAGGAAACGGCTGGCTTGAGCGATCCACTTGATAACCAGCGTCGTAGTACAGTTTAGCGAGAGCGCGTATGTTTTGGATTAGGCCAACCTGCTAACTCACACATATCCAGGTTAGGTTGAACCAGCTTCGTAATATATAGGCCCCTGGTCGGGACCAGGTTAGGTTGCAGGCTAAGAGCTCAACTCAGTGAAAGCACTGCCTGCTGACCAATCAGAGCTCAGTGTGCGGAGTTTAAAGCGATCAAGTCATATTACAGGAGAAAGGAAATACAGAATAGCTGCCGTCGCAGGAAAGACAGCCGGCAAAAATCACCGACTGTGTGAACGTGAACATTAATAGAATATATCACCTCCCATCTTCAGAGCAATCTGACTATTATAACATTAGCGTTAAGAAAGCTTACTTAAATATCTGCCACAACATAAGTAACCGGATCAGAGTAACATTAAGTAGCCTACAGTCCGCGGCATATCACTTCATAATGTATCATATATTTTCTAATCTGAGTCAGCTGAGCCGTATCTGGCCGTGCAACACTCACAGTGTCACATACTGTATGCAGAAGTATTATTTTAAGCCACACATTAAGTTGACGAAACACTAGAGACAAATGTAATTAAAGTCAAATCGTGTTTTAGACGGGGCAGTGATATCATAAACCTGTTAATGTACGCATTCAAACACTTTTTCTTTTGCCAGCTGTATTCACCTTGCTGCGCTGTCAGTGCGCTTCTCCATGTTTGTGATTGGTCGAATGCTCCAAATACCACCCCTTTCATGTGAACGCGCACCTAACTAGATAGGAAACGGCTGGCTTGAGCGATCCACTTGATAACCAGAGTCGTAGTACAGTTTAGCGAGAGCGCGTATGTTTTGGATTAGGCCAACCGGCTAACTCAAACATATCCAGGTTAGGTTGAACCAGCTTCGTAGTATAGGCCCCCGATGTGGCACTGTTTATGTTGCTAATGCTGTTGTTGTTGTTGTTGTAAATGTCATTTTTTGTTTTTTGTTTTTGAGGGAAAGGAGTGAGAAGAAGTATAATTTATTTAATCTCACCCCCTTGTCCCTAAATGATTGATTGATTTATAATCTATAATAATTATCATTATTATTAATCAATATTGTTATTATTATTATTAATCTGCTTTACCTGTTGATTGACATATATACATATACACATATGTACATAGACACATACACATATACACACACACACATACACATATATACACATATACACACTCACACACATATATACATACACATATACACACATATGTACATATACATACACACATACACATATATACACACATATATACATATACACATAGGTACATATACACACCTACATATCCACATAGTCAAACACCTTCCCCATCCCTGTACCTCGAGAAAATTATTTCTCTGTATTTCCTCTTGAACTGGTTAATGTGGATGTGGTTCTGTATTTTAATTGGGTGAGTCTTAATCGGTGGATGTTGCTTTTATTTGGATAATATAGCAAATTCCCCAAATCATTGACAGACTAGTCAAATATGTTCAGTGCTGTTTATAAAACGATTGCAAAAAGTGAAATGCACCTTTTGTTGAGTGTTGTTTGTGACCACCAAACGTATTCTATAATGATTTCTTTGATCCGCTCTCTTGTCTTTAGTCCCAGCATCATGACGATGAGAAGCGAGCGCTCAGCAGAGAGATCATCGTCCTCAACAACCACCTGATAGAGGCCAAGCTCACCATCGAGAAGCTGCAGGAAGACAATGTAAGAGCCTCATATAATAAAGCATATTATCTCCACCATGTTTACCTACCTTAGCAAAAACATTTCTCATTTGAATGTGATGTTTTTTCCCTGTCAGCTGTTGCTTTTTAGATAATTTGATATACTTTGTTTCCACTTTCATGCTTAGATTGTTGGGGGGAAAAAATGAAAAAACACAAAACTGTAGAGGCAGTTCAATGCAAATCAAGTCAAGTTTATTTATATAGCACATTTCAACAACAAGGTGATTCAAAGTGCTTCACAAGAAACAGTAAAGCAATAAAACAAAGAAATCATGAATACATAATCACATTTAAAAACTGTCATTGAAAAGCCAAGAGAAAACAAACAAATCAAGCTCAAATAGAATAAGATATGTATAAAAATCACAAGAATAAAAGTGACAGTGCTGTGTACTGAGTAATATTTGATAGTATTAACCTTCCTCATTTTGCACACAATCAACAACACTCAAGGCAAAGTGGGTTTAAGGGTTGAATTATCAGTGGACATTATGAAAATACTTAACAAAATAAGTGAATATTCATCCCTAAATGTTCATTCCTAATTTTGTTATCGTGTCTCCATAGGACATGCACAGGAAGGACTGTAACCTGGCCGCTCAGCTTCTGCAGTGCAACAAATCTCTGTACAGGGCGCAGCTCTCTGAGGTGAGGCCGACACCGACTGCTGCATGTCACGCAGCGCACGTATGTGAATTGTGTTGTGCTGATTTGATATCTGATTTGATATCTCAAGTGTAAGTGGTAAAATGTGTTTAAAATCGAACACAAGCCCAAAGCAACTTTTTGACCTGATATGTGCACAGTTCAACCTGCACTTGATGTACAATGATAGATAGCCAGGTACTGTGAAAGGGAATGACTTGATGAAATAGCTGGGATTTGTAAAAGAAAGAACAGAGTGAGCAGCATTAAGATACATTTCCCACTCACCGTGACATAAAGATGGCCCAAAAAACATAAAAATGCTGTCTCGACTCTAAGTGAAGGTCATCTTTCCCTTTTGTGAGGCAGGAGAGATTAAAGAGGAGACATGGAGGAGTGGTGAAGGCTGTGGGTCACTGCAGGACAACCAGAGAGAGAGAAATCTGCTTTTCTGCAAATAACCTTCAACTCAGAGGGGAGCTCATTTAAAACAGCTGAACTTAAGAAATAATACAGTTTTGACGTACAGTGTAGTTTACTTAGACAGTAGCCTTGAAAAATCAAATATACAATGTATTTTATTTGCTATTCAAGTGTGGTAACCTTAAAGGTGGGGTAGGTAATTTTGGAGAAACCAGCTCGAGTGCGCTAGAATTTGAAAATACACAGCCGGAAAAAATCTGCCACTTCCTTACAGAGCCCCTCCTCCATCACACACGAACGCGCACATGACCAATGAGGGCACGAGATAAGTTTGTGCCCCGATGGAAGGCTGACAGGCAGGTAGGCCATCCAGTTACTTTAGCCGGGCCGGCTCAGATGATTGGTCGTGCTTTTTACAGTACCACGGCTTCCACAGATGACGTTTTTCTATGGATTTTTTGTCAAAGCACTTAAGATATTCATTGCTATCAGGATGTTAAGAGCATTCCATGGAATATAACAAAGTGTATCTCGAGCCGGTTTCTCAAACTTACCTACCCCACCTTTAAGCTGTAAAATAAAAAAGGAACATTTCTTATTATTATTAAGCATAATGGTTACCTTACCAATATCTTTGGTATAAAGTATATTTTTCTGTGCTTATACCTTTGTACTTTGACTTTGTGAAAAATACAGTCGAATTGTTAATTTCATAACTTTTACTCAGTATTCCTGCAGGGTTGTATTGCTATTTTGTATTTGCTAAAACATCTCAGTACTTCTGAATATAGTTCACTTCGATTTGTTTTACATGCAGGCTTTGATGTGAAAACTAACAGTAGCTCAAATCTTTTGTACCAACCACCAACGAGACAGGAGGTTTTTTTCTTCCTCTCACATATTATGCAGTGACGTCAGTGTAATTATTCTGCACCGGGTTTCAGTAATCATGTAATTGTTTGACAATGATTAGGCATGAAGCACAGCGAGAACTACTTCAAGGCACGTCATGCGGAAATGTGAGGGACAGCTCACTGTTCAAGGAGAAAGAAACTTCAGTGTGTTGCAAAATGTAAATGTAGAGCACACTGCAGCCTCATCATGCTATCCTGCTGTTGCTTGTGAAAACAGACGCACGTGGGTATCGATGAGTGTCTTAACACCGGGCTAGCTTGACGCCACTTTCCGCTGCATCAGCCTGGGCCCTGTGCCTCAGTCATGCGACACGAGTGGCTTTTAAAGCTGGCAAACATCCAAAAGGTTGAAAACGGCTGCATGGAAATATCAATGCAAACTGCATTTGGTTACGTAAGACTCATAGAAATCCCCCCACACACAAACACATGCACAGCCTCTCTGAACACGGTTATAGAGTGAAAAACTGTTATGCAGGCTCGACGCCAAACATAATGGGGGTCAGAGGCTATGCATGCACTCTTTGTATGTCCACTAGTGTCCTGTGGGTGGGAGCTAATCAAAAGCATATTGATGAATTGTGCTAAAGCATTTTGAGGAGGGCAGTTGCTCTTCAGCGCCTACTGAAGTGCTCCAGTCGTTTGTTTTGCTGCAAAACAACCACAGAAAGGATGTAAAAGGATTGGGCTCTGAAACGCCTGATTAAACTGTGTGGACAGTAATTAAGTGGCGTTTACTTTGGTTCAAGTTGCAATGAAACTGTTTGGATGAAATGTCTTTTCATGTTAGTCTTCTCTCCGTCTACAAAGTTATAATTAGCTTGGCTCTCATCACCAATTAGGAACAACTGACTGGATTCTTGTTGATGATGTGCTGCAGTCGGCTTAATGCTTGTTGCTATGGAGAGGCACACATAGTAGATGGGGGCTTTTTTATTATCAAGGAAATGCTCAGAATAGCTAGAGCGATGCCTTTATTTTCCAAGGAAGGAGACTCGGTACACCTTTACTTTCACATATAATTCTCTTTGGAAACTCTTGTCACTGAATATGACACAAATACAATGATTCCAGTAAAGTCAGGTATATTCAGAGGTTGTTGTGATGGGGTATGACTGTACTATATGATACAGAGTAAGAAACTGCAATATATTTAAAGGGGACCTATCATGCAAAATGCACTTTTTGATGTCTTTTATACATAAAGATGTGTCCCCGGTGTGTCAGGGAACTCACGCAGCGTGAGAAAAATAAAACCCTCTCTCTTTTCCTCCGTACCCAAATCACTAAAAACGGGGCTACAACAGAGCTGATCCAGATTTGCGTCCGATATGACGTAATATCTAAAATGTGGGCTGGCTTTACACCCACGGCCCTATCAGAAACGTTGCTATCAGAAACAATGCCCGACTGTTTTGGACGTAATATGGTCGGTGTTTACATTAGCATCGCTAACACTCAGAGCTAACCAGTACTGGAGAGCATGTGTGTGAAGAAGCAGGAAATAAAAAGGAACTCACCTTGTGGTATAACCGGCAAGAGAGAAAGCCTTTGAGCTCCATACTGTTTCAGAAATAATCCATGATATGGCGTTTCATCACCGCAGTATTTAGTTTAGACCAGGGGTGTCAAACTCAATTTCATCAGCATAAAGGTTGCACTCAAAGGGCTGGTTGTAACTATATAAATATATAATATATATATATATATATAAAATAATGTATTATATTACATTATTGCCTCTGAATTGGATTATTATCGGATAGGATAATAATAATAATAATAATAATTCCTTACATTTATTATAGCGCTTTTTCAATGACTCAAAGCGCTTATAATAACTTAGTAATTAACTACGTAATTAACTACGTCTGAAAGCAGAAGCAAATAATTGCAAGTCTCTTCAGTGCGCATGTCACAAAACAAGATGCATTGTGGGACATGTAGTTCATGGGCAGAAATGGCCCATTGTATTATATTCTTGCGGGGCCACATAAAATGAAGTCGCGGGCCGGATTTGGCCGGATTTGAGACCCCTGGTTTAGACAGTAGCTGCCGGGTCCCGCATGAGCTCAGCCCCCTCTTTTTTTTTTTAATCAATATTTTTTTTTTTTTAAGCTTTATACCCAAAATCAGCACTTTTGAAACAGGAAGTGAAATAGAGGGTTATGAGGCATGGCTAGAATGGGTGATCTGTTTGGTATTTTGAGCAAAACACTTCACAGACATGTTTTTTATATATTTTTATATATCTGAGACCTATGCTATTGCCTAAAAATAGCATGATAGTTGACCTTTAATGCAGAAAGTACGCTGCAGTTTAGGCCCAATTACAATGAGAGATTTGGATCGATCCCAAAAAGAAGTTCCTAGATTAAACTGTTAGACACATCCACAGACAAAAGTTAAGCCATGGCAAAGTATTTAGTGTCAGAAATTCACGAAAATTAAAATTCACAACTGTTTAAAGATCACAAGGTTGCAATCCTACTTTGATCTTTTGCCATGTTATAATGGATTATGAAACATTTGTGGCATGGAGCATTACCCTTTGTCTTTATTATTTTTGTAATACGCTTACCACTATTTCTCCTTTAAACTTCAGAATGTATGGCCACAATGTGACTCTTCTACCATCTAACCAATGTGAATACATCATGAAATGAAACAGAGTGCACTGGCTAACATGACATTTTATAGGCACCATTTTGGAAAAAGCACTCACAGCCCAAAGGATGGAGGCTAAATGAAACAGTGTTTTGTTGCACCAGCTTTTACTACAATGAAAATACAAAAGCAATTACAGAACAACAAAGGCAGCAACAAAGAAACCAGGCAGAACAGAGTACTTACTGTTGAGGAAAAATGAGGTAAAAGAAGCAAGGCATGGGGAATATATTGTGAAATACAGTCTTTGTGGTTTTTTTATTCATCAACTGGAGACTTTGATCAATTCAATCAGGTCGAAATAAATCAAAATAGGGACGTCTGATTGTGTTCGATGTGCATTTTTAAATAAGATCCAAATGCAATCATGTCTGTGGTGAAGAAGAAAAACCTTGCGGAGTTTATTATTATGACATACGCTGCTGACGTCTCTGCTTTCATACACTATTTTCTATTTAGATCACATCAATAGACTTCTCACTAAGTGTGACATGAAACTATTAAACTAAATAGAATAAGGTGCTTGGAATATTCTATAATCGTTATGAAGCCTTTAAATGTTGTAGTATATGTAAAAACCCTCCTAATCAATCTAATAAATTGAGAAATGACTTAAATAATCCCAAAGGAGAACATTGTGCCTGAGACTGCTCATAAATTACAACAACATAGGGATACAAAAAACAACAGTGTTATACATATACAGTATACTAAAAACAGCAGTGCCTAGAATACTATACTGTACAATATGATACAATAATACCATACAATTGTCAGATCGAGTCTGCATTTGTTCTTGCATCACAGCTGCTTCATTTGCAACCTTAACAAATATAAGACAAGAAAACAGGTAACAGGTATGAAACCTAACTTGACACTAGAATAACAGTAACAGTCAGATAAATGTAGTAAAATAAGTCAACTAAAATAGAAAAGCAATTGGTAAAGCAGATGTGATCTCAGTACAGCTCCACCTGTCGGGACAGAATCATTTACATCAGGCCTTTCTCTTTTCTCTGACCCTTCTAGCTGCCGGCTGACTTCCAGGAGCGCCTCACCATGCACCTGGAGGAGTCTCCTCTCTGCCGCACCTACTCTGACTCCGTCGCGGCCTCTCTGATCGGCAAGGTGCTCGAGAAGCCGGACGAGGCCTGCAGCAGCAGCCAGGCCTCCCGCTCCCCCAGCCCCCAGACTCAGGAACACACTTTCGTTTTGGAGAGTTTGGGACCCGGAGAGCGGCTCAGGCTCCGCGCGGCCTACAAGTCGGACCTGTACAGCAGCGACACGGCGCTGTACTGCCCTGAAGACCGGCAGCGCGAGAGGAGGCCCAGCATGGACGTCCATGGTGAGAGGGCGCTGCTCTACGGGCCCCAAATCTCCACCGACAGCAACCCGGAGGAGGGCTCAGTGGGTCTGAGGGCTGGCTTCACCCAGGAGCACTTCGCTAAGTTCCCCGCCCCGCTGAGGGCAGGCTCCAGCTCCTACTCCAGCTTCAGCGGGGGGGGCTCTGAAGACAAAGGCAACGGGCCGCCCAGCAGCGCAGCGTCCTCCCCCAGACACCACTCCCTCTTCATGGAGTGGAGGGATGCAGGGGACTATGAGAGAAAGAGTGACTCTTCCTGGGAGAGGGACAGTCCGAGGGGCTTCCCCAGCACTCACCCCTTCCAGCAGGCGGAGCTGAGCCACCACCAGAACGGCAGCTCGCCCGTCTACAGCCGCACCATGTCCTCCTGCTTCAGCGAGCCCTACGAGCCGCTGCCGCCCTCTTCGTCCCCGAGCGTGGCCTACGGAGACAGTCGACGTGGCAGCACATTGGCCCCCGAGGAAGAGGAGCTGATTGGGCGATGGAGACAGCTGAGCGTAGAGGACCTGAGCGCCCAAAGCTACCGCAGCCCAGGCCGGGCTTCACCCTACAGCTTCTCAGAGCAGCACTTCTCCGTCAGGCCGTCTAAGATCCGCCTCGGCCCGCTCTACAGCAGCTTCCAGGAGGGGGGTGACTTTTACCCTCAAGAGGGCATGGACCCTGTGTGGGTAGCTGCCATCCCCAGCCCAGAGTGCAGCCCGGGGCCGAGCCAAGCCCACCTGTACAGGGCGGAGGACAGCCAGGGGTCGGAGCACAGCCTCTACCACTCAGGGAGCTCCAAGGACAGGGATGGGAACGTGGCAGCGGGCGGCCAGAGCGCAGACTATGTGGACCCCAGCCCCAACAGCTCCACCGAGTCCCTGAACCAGAGGACCCTGGAGATGGCCACAGAGCTGCAGCACTACCAGGTGGAGATGCACAGCCTGCCTGCACAGGGCAGCGGGTCACCACCGGCAGGCCCACCTCCTCCACCTCCCTACAACCAAACATTTGGCTCCCTAGGACTTTCCAGGAAAGACAGTCTGACCAAGGCGCAGCTCTATGGGACACTTCTGAACTGAAGGACTGAACAATCAGGTTTATTCTTTCATCAGACGACGCCCTGGTGTGTCCCGCTACACCTTCTGTTAGCACCACCATTTGGTAGAAAATGGTTTGAATAGCAGCCAGGGGAATCACTCAGCATCATGAACATGTATCTGTTGCTGATTATTGAAAAGCTTTGAACGTACGGCAGTGAGTGGCAACAGTTTACACTACGAGAAAGTCACGATGATAGTTGGATGTGGGGCAAAAAGGAGGCGAGGGTCTCAAGCTGAAAGGCCCCTTACAATTTATAAGAATGTGTATGTATTTAAATTACAAATGTATAAATATAAACTAATATCTACAAATTCAGTGATATATTTTGTATGTAGCTGTTGGCAAGAAATACATCTAAAACAATCGGATAACAATTCAAATCTTAAATAAACCTGGAACTTGTATATAAATGATAAAACTGTCGATTCGAACACTGAGAGTGGAGTTATAATTTAGATGTGACGCCCGTATAAAGTGCACATCAATCCAGTCATTATTTTTAATGGACAGTGTTGGCCCTGTGAGGATTTAAATGTGAATGTTGAACAAAGGGAGATGACAAAAGTCAATTAATCACTTAAATGAGAAACATACATTTCGTTTTTCTTCTGTTCATTGAATTTGACAGTATCGGTGGGTGTGCTAATTGTATTGATGGAACGTTTTGAGATCTGTTTTAGCAGTCAGTATTTTTTACATTTTTGCTCTTCTATATCCCACAGAGAGGTCCTGCCCCCATTCTACCTCAGATTTGGATGCCCACACCCCATCAAGCCACTGTAACCCTGTTCCTTTGACGGCAATGCATGTTTATATATTTTTGGTTGTTTTGTTCGCCTAATAAAGCACACATTATACATACACGCTCCCAAGCCTTCCTTTAATGTTCAGGCGATGCTGTGTGGGGACTTTAAATATCCTTTAAAGTCCAGTTGCGTATGATCTATCGCTGTCTTGGAGATAATTACATGCCCGCTGATGCAGAAGTTGAGTGGTTGAAGTGGGAGGAGGGAGACCCTTCATCACTCACGATGCTGCAGCCATGTGGCGCTGCATGCTGAGTCATTGCAAAGCCCTGCTTCATCACCAATTGTAAATCTAAAAATAGGTTTGTTGAGACAGATTTCTGCCAAGAACAGCAAACTCCAAACAGAAAGGAAGGTTATTTGCGTCGTCAAGAAAATACTACAAAGAAATGTTTGTTATGCACTGAGTTTTTGTGAAATTAAACACAGCTACACAGCTAATAATACTTAATATACTGATGATACCAGTGTCATGCTGGTATATTAAATAAAGACGATGTGGGCAGAAAAATTAGATTACATTTATATTGTAAAACAAAAAAAACGAAGTTTGGAAATGTCAAACTGTACCAGAGACCTGCTGATTAATCTCCTTTAAGGTTAATATATTGCAATATAGTGAACTATCTATTTGTTTCTCTCTTTATCTGTTTTAAACTGAATAGATATGTTCGTTAAACCCAGCAAGACATTAGGAACCCTGGACCTTGGATTGTAAAATATATTTTTCACCAAAGCATTTACTTCATTAATTGAAAGGTCAATCAGAAAGAAATCGACAATTAAGATGAATCCGTTTCAGCCATACTGAGGTGCCCCATAATTGTCTTTCTCAGAGGATTCAGAGGATTAATCCATCAACAGATGATCTATTTAAAATTAAATATTTTCAAGCAAGTATTCAAATAATTTTGGAACAGTTCATAAATTCTAATTTTCACTATTTTCAGACAACCATGACAATAACGGGCAGATTTTGTAAAATCAAAAAAGATCTATGGCTTTTAGTTGAAACCACATTTCTTCAGTTTTGCAAGTTTGGATTTTCCTTTTTTCTATGTGAAGAAATGTGAGCTGCATGTTTGTATGGAAGGTGCTATACAATTAAATAAAGTTGATTTGAAAGGATCAAAATAGACACATAGTACAACACAAATATTATTATCTGTTTTCTCTGATTTCATTTATTCTCATTTGAATTTCATATTGAATTGATTGCAACATTTCCTTCCTCTCTCTCCTGCAGAGGTGAGATTGAATGTTTCCACAGGAGGGAGCCGCATCATCTCGCTGATCTGCACCTCAGCCTGATTGTTAGTCTCCTCCGGACGCAGCAGAAAGCATTTACACTTCAAACACCTCAACAGAGGGAGACCAATTTAACAGCTGCCCCCCACCTCCTCCTTTGTAACACTGCAAAATACATGCTAAACTATGCACAAATTTAGCATTCAAGTACAATAACTGAACCGGATGGATAAGCTATTCTTAGACTTTGCACAGCGCAGGCCATAATGTGACAACTCAGCGTGGCTCTGATGGGTGCAGAGGAGATGAGTTCCATCGTGTGTGTGTGTGTGTGTGCATTCGGGATTTTATTTTCAATAACCAAGATTGATCTCGTTTGCTCTTACAGCTCACTATTTAACATTAGAAATATTTTCGATGTTTGGTTTGCACTTTTACATATCCACGACTGTGAAGCGCCATGTCTTAGCCTTTTTCCTATATTTCGAGAAAGCCATAATGTCACAACTTCCTGTGGATGTACTTGTAGCCTACATGCACCTAAGTAACAGGGCAACGGCTTTCTGCTTATTCGATAAATGTGGTGTGAAAAACATTTCCACAGCTACATTTCTCTAGGTCAGTGTTTCAGTGCTTCTCAAATGTGGTCCGCGGACCACTGGTGGTCCGTGAGCGCCCCCTAGTGGTCCGTGAGTATATTGGTAACATTTCACATTTTTTATTAATTAATTAATTAAAGTTTTCCGCACTCTCGCGGAAATATCTCCGCAATGGCGCGAGCTTAATTTTGATTGCATGATATAGCCCAGCGCAACACCTTCATCACACATGTTGCCACTTGTTTGTACCATTTTCAGGCGATTTGTAATCTGTTCTAGAAAAACGATGTGTTTTTGGATATCTGTGGAGTTAGGTGGTCCGCGAGTGTTTTTGTATTGGTTAAGTGGTCCTTGGTATGAAAACGTTTGAGAAACACTGCTCTAGGTGAACACAGATTTTGATAACCAGATGTTTCTATTTACTTTGTACATGTTCATATGTGCATGGTGAATACTTCAGGCAGGGGAAGTTATCGTGGAGCAGGTGGAAGAAATAAGGGGCCGATGCATCCTGGTTTGAACCATCACGTTTACATGTTTTAATTGAAACTTTATCCAGTCTCTGTTTTACCCACTACACTGCACACATTTACACACTTCATTGGCACGACATATCATTCCATTATTGATGAAATCCTCAAGGTGGCAATCAGTCTTAGCACAAGCCGTCTCCTGCACAGCAGCGTCCGTTTGAGATTAAGTATTTTGTCCGCAGTACGGGACTCTGCTCAGTCAGCGAGCCCGACCATCCTCCTGCTTATGTCCCACAGTTTCTTGGCTGCCTGCTCATCTGTAGCCTTGGGCATCAGCTCCTCCTCCGCACAGTTAGCGAAACACTTCCCCGACACTCCCTCCACCTCGGGGGAGCAGGCCAGATAGAGAGGGGTTTGGGCTCCCTCCAATGGACTCTTGAAGAAGATCAGCGAGGCGAGGTAGAAAAGCGGCTTTGCAAGGAAAGGGATTTGAACGTGTCTTCCCAGTCTGGTCCTCACGATGCCGGGGGTGAGAGCGTTGACTGTGACCCCCGTGCCCTCCAGCTGACGAGCCAGCTCCAGAGTGAACAGCAGGTTGGCCAACTTGCTCTGACTGTAGCAGAAAGCTTTATTGTAGTTATTCTCACTATTCAGGTCGTCAAAGTTGATGTGGCCGTACTTGTAAAGCTTTGAGGAAACAACAACGACGCGGCTGGGGGCCGAAGACTTCAGGAGGTCCAGCAGGAGGTGGGTGAGGAGGACGTGGCCGAGGTGATTCACACCGAGCTGCATCTCAAAATCATCCTCGGTCTTTGTGTAGGGACACTGGTAGAGTCCGGCATTGTTGATGAGAACGTCAACCTTGGATTCCTCCTAAAGGGTCAGAGAAAAACAAATAATTTAAGTTTGACTTAATCCAATCAAAGATAAAAAAAATACCTTTACATACAAATTAAGCTATTTAGAATGTTTCATTGTTAAATCTAAAGCTTGTTTAAGTAATATAATGAATATATTGAGAGTTGAGTCTCTTCTTAAAACATATGGTCAGTGGGTGGCTTGGGCATTGAATGGGAAAGGAAAACAAGGGAAATGTCTGTTAGGATTGTTTGGGATTATTGTTGCAACAGTGTTTATGCTGCCCTTCTGGGTCATTTATTTATAATCTAATAATAGGTGATCAAGCTAATGTTTGTTAGGTTGAAGGTCAATACAGAAGTTCAGCACCATGGACAGTTTCTCTGAAGCTAAAGTGCTTGTTATGCTCTTTTTTTGTATAGGCCTTACAATAGCTGGAATAAACTAGAAATCAGTCATTTAAAAAGCTCAAATGTATCTAGTAAACAAACTATACATTAAGCTGGAGAAACTGTGGGTCACTTCTCCATGTATCAGCTCAACTAACCTCTTTAATTTCCTCACAAAACCTCCGGACTGATGTGAGAGAGGCGAGGTCCAGGTGTTTGATGACCACCTCTCCCTGCTCTGGTCCCGCTTGTTTCCGGATGTCCTTCGCCGCCTCCTCGGCTCCCCGCAGGTCACGACAGGCGATGATGACCCGGGCCCGGAGCTTCAGCAGCTCCCCGGCCAGGGCCTTCCCAATCCCGCAGTTAGCCCCGGTCACGATGACCGTCTTTCCCCGCATAGTGTCGGCGGAATACCGGAGCAGCTTCAAGGCTTTCTGTTGCCGGGGGAACAGGCGGCGCATGAGGAGCAGGACCCCGCCGCCGACAACAGCGGCTACTAACACCGCGGTGGACATGAGAGAAGCACCGGGGACAGGTCAGATCTCCCGGTGACAGCACGGTGTGTTATGTGTAAAAGTTATAAAAGTACCCCGGAAACACTTCTTCTTCTTCTGCTATTATTTTATGGCGGTTGGCAAACAGCTTTTAGGTGCATTTACCGCCATCTTCTGGAGTGTGGATCAGTACGGTGTTAAACTAAATTCTTAATATAATTCCTGTCCTTTTTAAAAACCTAAATACTGCCCTGTATGCTACATAGCATACCTTAACGGTACCCTAACCCTGAACTCCTTCTCAAAATCTCTACTATATTTATTTTAAACCTGTTTGATTTCTGTTCAGTGTTTTCTTTAGTAGGCTATTATACGCCGGAAACACTTCCCTGCTAATGTGTCAATTTAACGAACAGCGTTCCACTATAAATAATCATAATACGCCGTTTTGTTGTTATAAAACCTATGTATAAAACGCGTAAAAGCAACATATGACTTTAAATATACTAGTGGACTGAATGAAGAAAGATACATTAAACATGTAACGGTCGTGCAAGCAGGATAACTAAGCTACCGACGCTTGGGATTTTACTTCCGGGTTACACCTGATTAAAAAATGTCTGTAAATCAAAGATTTAAAAAATATATATATATACACGGAGTACAATAAAACTTGCATTGACCATATCATAAATAAATATTGAAGAGGAAAAATGTAAGAATAAAAATAAGAAGGATTGAGGAACATCACCGGCAGTACAGAAGGTAACAATCGTGTTTTCTTCTAATAATAAACCAAACATAATAGTATTATGGTCAAGCATTGCTGTGGTTTGGGAGCCGATATGTGTGCGTGCTGGGGAATGGATAAGACATTTTTTTTCTCATTGCAGTCTTCTCGTCTTGTAAACACTTTGTGAGTTCTTTACACACTGAACACTAGGTGAAGCTGTTTGCACAGAAAAGTAGTAGGCCTACAGTAATTCACTCTTATCTAATTCCCGCCTGTTATATAATGTATTATATTATTGTCTACTCCATTACAACCAAATGTTCTGCATTCAAAGTCTTACAAGTTAGGAATAAAAAATCTAAAGTGACTCATTATAACAAATTTCCATTTTCCAAAAAATATTTATCATATCACTGGACTATAATTATCTTTTTGTACAATTGATGTTCATCAATTTAATGTTGCAGGAGAGAAAGGTGGAGCTATTTGTCATTTGAAGCAGTTACAAAATATGATGTATGTGTTTATTATATTACATTAACAATCTGAATCTGTCAAGTAACTAGCCTTACAAAACTTAACAAACTTTCAAAATACATGTAGTTGAGTAAAAGTACATTATTTCTCCAAAAGATGAGGAAGTATTATTATATGTAAAGTTCAAGCAAAGTGTTGGAAACTTTTATCTACACTTTCGCTAATGTAAATCCATTAGATTCTCTCTAGAGAGGGTAGCCTCGAAAACACGTCAATTAGCAGGCGCTGATATCGAAAGTATCTGATGATTAATGGCTGAGTCATAGCAGTACATTTGAAGTGGAGAGGTGTGTTTTGTGTTCACGTTATTCTGCGTTGCTCCGGGAATAAACAGACAGGATTTATTAAAGTAACAGAGGCTATGTGGACGAAGTAGCTCACTTCCTCTTAGCTCTGTTTCCAGTTGAGTAATAACTCCCGTTTATTTCAGGGTTTGCTTCAGTTCCTGTTAGTTGAAAGCTAATATACAGAGTTAGTTTGAAAATGCGGTGCAGTGTGTACAGTTGGTTTTATCAGACATAGTTAAAGCGATTTTATTTATTTGATCTTGTGCACCTGGATATATCACATCTTTAAAAGTCTTTATTTCTAGTTATAAAAGAAATGCATTTATTCTTAGCTCTGTGTATCCTGGCTGTAAACCCCTCCATTTGTAAGGGTAAGTAAACCTCCTATATTTGATATTTATTATCAAAGTTAAAGCATGATAGTAAAAATACAGAGCACCTAACTGTCCCGGCCGGGATTTATAGGAAATGCGTTTTGTTTTGGTTTCATAACAAATGTGTGATGAGTTTACTGGGTTACTAAATGCGTCATAAATTAATAATAGGCTACCTTAATCTAACTCAACTCTAACCCTAATATTAACTTCTTGCTCCATAACTTAATTTATATTTTATTTCCTGGGTGATCACTGTTATTCAATAATATATTATTTTAAATAACCACAAATCTAACTTGTGACAGAGACATTTTGTAAGTTATTCAATAATATAGTACTAATTATTCTTAATTTACACAGGTATGGTTAAAAATATCCAATATTAATTGCTTTAGGTGTCTAAAAATCTACTACCCCATCTGAAAATAATAAAAATACTCAATGTTTTACACTAATCAAATGTTATTTTAAAGTCTATTAATGTCTAAATAATGCAAAAGGAAATCTTCCTGTCGCTACTGCAAAAGGAATGATTTTGGGAAATCATGAAAAACACAAAAATTGTGTTTTCACGTGCTGCAGATCTTCTGGTCTATTCAGTGCTGGAATTGGGCCGGTACTCACCGGTACGCAGTACCGGCACTTCTGGTTCTGACCCATGGAGTACCGGCACTTCTTGCTCAGTACCGGCATGCTGGCGGTACTCCGGTACTCATGCACCGTGCCAGTACTCAACACTCTCCCGCCGTTCTTATTATACATCCATATATATATATACAGCCGCCCGGTACTCAGTAGCCGCCCCGGTACTCAGTAGATGCGTCATGAGGTGCCGAACGGACATTCTCATCGCTCTAACCGCTGGAGTTTCACAGCGGCTGTCAGCTGTTTACTCCTGTCATTCAAACAGAAGGTGCTGGAGAGGGGGCGGGGCTTATCTTCTCCATGTAAATACTGTGGTGGAAACGACTATGTCAAAATTAAGCTATTTGATCGTGATTTAATAGTAATACACGTTTCAAAATAATAATAATAATAATAATAATGCCGAAGTAACAACATACTGAAAACTGTTAGTAAAACTATGTTTTAATGCTTTACAATTTACATACCTAGATGCACGTGTGTTGTGTTTATGCAGTGCAACTCCCACCCAGTGGGTGGCTATGTAGAGTGATAGAACAGAGCAGGCACGCCCCCGAGAGAAGGAAAGCAAGTCACGTCACAAATTAGCATTTCTAAAATGTTAGCGTGGATTAATAAAAGTGCAAAAAGACAGCGGTTGTCGCCGGAAGAAACTTCAAATACAGAGAATGCTGTGCCTGTGTTGGAAATTGTGTCTGATGGGGAGCTTTCTTTGGTTGATCCTCCTGCTCCAAGTTCTAGTGCATTAGCATTAGCACTAGCTCCGCCGCCTCCTCCAGAGCCTCTAACGTTAGCTGCTGCTGGCGCAACTGCCACCACCAACACCGGGCAAAGCGATGCACCTGACTGCTGGACAACGGACCAGGTGCAATATTTTTGCAAGACCAATGCATGGCTCCTTCTTAAAGATAAGAAGCTAGGATGTCGGATATGCAGAGATGTCAAATCTTTGGGAATACACACTGGACAAGGACTGAAACTGTCAACTGAATGGGGTGAGTGTGCAGTGTCTCATTTCGGTGTTGACAAGGGCAAACAACAAGCTAGCCTGAGAAAAAAAATCAAAGAACATAAAGAATCACAAGCCCATGTAAAAGCTGCTGACATCCTTACATCTGCTTCACGTGAAACTATTCAACATCAAGTGCAGTCTGCATACATCTGAATTAGACACCACTATCAGAGTTTTTCGAACGGCATATACAATTGGCAAACATAGCCGGCCATTCACAGACATGCCAATTGATTTGAATGTACAGAAACTGAATGGGCTGAACGTGGGCAGGGTTTTGCACTCCAATAAAACCTGTGGCGAAATCATCGACCACATAGCTCATGAGCTGAAGAAAAAAATGGCAAAAGACATTACAGAAAACCAAATAAATCTCTGTGTTTTGGTCAATGAATCTACCACTATTAGTGGTAAAACGGTGCTTGTTGTGTGTCTACGCTCAGCATTAGCTGATGCTGAGCCCGAAACGTTTTTTTGGGAGCTGATCGAGTTGGATGGAAAAACGGCTGATGACATCACAAAGGCGTTAATGGAGTGTCTTGGAAGAGATTTTAACGAGGACTTTTTAGGTCAGTGTTTCGTTTCTTTTGCATGTGATGGGGCTTCAGTCATGCTAGGGAAGAGAACAGGCGTTGCTACCCAGTTGTGTAGTAAATTCCCAAGCCTGTTTGTGTGGCACTGCTCCAATCATCGTCTAGAGCTGGCAGTTGGGGATGTGGTCAAGGAGGTCTCAGGGCTCAATCATTTCCAGATCTTTTTTGACAAACTCTATTCCTTGTTCCATGCCTCCCCCAAAAATCAGAGGCAGTTAGCGCAGTGTGCGCAAGCAGTCGGACAGCGTCTCCTGGTGATAGGGCGTGTTTTGTCCATCCGCTGGGTGGCTTCAAGTGAAAGGAGCGTCAGAGCAGTCTGGGAAAACTACCGAGTGCTTCATGATCACTTCACAAATGCTGCAAACGACACGAGCAGGGATTCCAGAGACAGAGCAAAGTACAAGGGCCTGGATGATGTGCTCACATCTGCAACGTTTGTCAGCAATCTGGGACTGATGTACGATGCGCTCACAGAGCTCAGCGACCTCTCTCGGCAACTCCAAAAAAGAGAGATGACACTGCCTACAGCAGATAGGCTCTTAACTCGAGAAATACGAGTTTTTGAATCCATGGTCACCATGCCTGGCCAACACATGACTACAGTTCATACAGCTCTAGCTGAGAAGTCCTTCAAGGGTGTTGCCCTGCGTGAGAATGGCAGGCTTGTACAGATTCATGCAGGTCAGTTTTTCCGCAGTATGGTAGAGAATCTGAGACACAGAATGACTTCCACAACCTCCTCTCATGTCAGCACAAGAGAAATCCCATTACATGGCCGGGAGGCCCGGGAAAATCAGCTAATCCAGGACATGAAAGTTATCCATCCTGGAAGTTGGCCTGAAGAGGAGTTAGACGTACAGTATGGGGACGTAGAGGTGCTACGTTTGTGCGAAGTGCTGAAAGTGGACAGAAGAGAGACTGTTCAGGGCTTTCGCGAATACAAGGAAACCAGGGCTTCCCGTACACCTGCTGCCATGGAGCCTCTACTGAAAGCAGTCCGAACCATCGCTGTCTCCACTAGTGAGTGTGAGCGGGCATTCAGCTACATGAACGATATCCTTACTGCAAAAAGGAATGCTCTCTCTGTCAGCCGACTGTCCAGCCTGGTTTTCATTAAATGTAATGGACCATCACTAGGACAGTTCAATCCGGAACAGTATGTGAGGTCCTGTCTGGCAAAGGGAAGGAGAAGTGCTGATGAAAGAGCCTGTCCAGCTCCAGCCCCTGATACTGATGTCCCCAAGGCCTTCTGGAGCCTTTTCTAACAATGTGAAGTATATTGCAAAGCAGCTCACCCAGTGAGAAGACTTTTGGCATAATGTGCCGATTTGTACAGATCCTGGAGATAGAAGGACTTCAGACCAACCAGGGAGTTATCTGATCAGCTTGGTGTTCAATGTAACTCTTTACCATGGCTCAGACTTTGTTACTTGCAGTTACAGTTTCTCATTTTAGATTGTGCAAATTTTGCATTTGTTTTTACATGTTCTTTGTTCATGCTCTTTATCATTTTTCTGAGTTGGAAAGTTAGATTGCATCATAGTTTACTTTATACATATTTGTATTCTTCAGTGGTGAAGTATATTGCAAAGCAGCTCAGCCATGTGAGAAGACTTTTGGCACTTTTTCGTTTTTCGTTTTCTGAGTTGGAAAGTTAGATTGCATTCAAAATGTACAGAAATACTTAATTTTGTTAAAGCTTTTTATAAAAAATGCTTCTGACCAGAGCTTTGTTTCCTTGTCATTAATGTTGAACACCACCAGAGGGGCTCTCACCTGAAAGGTCTCTGCTTCATGTGTCTTCAGCAGAAGATCTAGACTTTGATTGCTATATTTTCAGTTAATATTGACCTTACTGAGCTTTAGCCATATCCGCTGCCTATCATAAAAAATGTTAAGTACAGTGAACCTTTCTAAAATATACAGTAGTAAAGAGACAAACCCACCAGCATTATAGTAGCCAAATTCTTGTTTGTGGGCTGTATATATAAAATTGACTTGAAAAAGTTGCTGATTTTAGAGTACTGGCACCTTTTTCATTCCAATTCAAGCACTGGGTCTATTGATATTCCCCTTTCTTTTCAGACAGGTAAATACGTGTATTTCTTAAATGCCATAATCATCTTTTGCAGGCAAGGATGAGAAAAAGTGCGACGTTGTCCCTAAAAATAATTACATCGAAGTGGGATCCGATATCAATATAACTTGTCTGACATGTTCCCATGGCGAAATCTACTGGACACTGGACACATCACGTTTGAACTCCTCACACACAGTCTTGTCCCTGAGGAACTTCACACACCAAAGTGCCACGGTGCAGTGCCACAGTACAGATTCTCAGCAAGTGATCGGAGGCACCACCATCAACACGTATTGTAAGAAGCATTTTATATCAGAATAATTGAAAAGGCTAGATACCTGCAATAACATGAAATATAGGATATTTCTGACTTGCTTTTTTCCACAGCAAAACCCTGTAACATATCATGCATCTGGCATCAATTAGATCAGAAAACGGAAAGTCAACCAGACCAGTTCACATGCAAATGGGATCATCAGATTGATCCTAAATTGGATGTAAACTACACAGTACTGCAGTGGGTGACATATTTTCTTTCTTTAGTGTAAGAACCTAATGAAAAAAGCGTTTTCATTGACTTTGGTCCTTCATGTGAAACCTGTGTTTTTTTCAGCTCCTCCGCCCAGAGAGAGATCTGCAAAACACGTCAAACAACATGTACGGTCGAAGGAGTTATAACAAATATGTTGTCGGACATCATTATTACCGTGAGAGCTAAAACTGCTGATTGGGAAGTTGATTCAGACACTCGTGAATTTCAGCCAGCGCACATACGTAAGTACCATAAAGTACATTCATTAGGAAATAATTTGATATATTTGTCATCCAATGTTGTGTGTTTCTGCATTTTTATTTGCTGTCTTAATGCCATTCCCACAGGGAAAATGATCCCTCCCCACTTGATCGTAACCAGCTTTGCTGATCATCTGTTGGTTGAGTGGAAGCGGGAACTCATTAAAAAAAAGTGTCGATGTGAAGTCAAATACAACGAGGTAAGTCCCTCTCTGATCACCTACATGCAGCATTCAAAATAACCATATTGACTAACTCCCAGGAGAAAAAAGGCAAACCATAAACAGCCTTCAGTCTAGTTAACATATACCAGCGTATAACCTAAATAAGTCATATCAAGTGCATAATAGCGATCCCATCAGTAAAATAACATTCAAATTCACGTTGATTTGATTCCTTTGTTCATGTCATTTGATATCTGACTGGTGTATCCGACTGCTTTATCAAATACATTCTGGTTTAATTGCCTTGTCTGTCAATGGCAGTTTTCCATGGAAATAAAAGTTGCTAAAAAGTAGAAAAGCTGTTTTTATGTTATTCCCCTTCATGGCTAACTGAGGTACATTCTGTTTGCCCTTCTCTTCCAAACTTTCAATAAAAGACCCATAGGGATAAGAGAAATATGTCTCCCTGTGTAGAAGTATCTTATTTAATCTGTGGACCTTCTGTGATTTCCCAAGAATTCAGAGGAATGTCTCTAACTGAAATCAGTTGTTTCCCCAGACGAAGCTTAATAAGGCTCTAAACAGAGAACAACATGGGAACATGACCATTGAACATGTGGAGTCCTGCAGTCACTACACAGTTTCAGTCCGCTGCGCTTTACTGGAGCCTGCTCCCTGGAGCGACTGGAGCCAGGAGAAGACAGTTCTGACCAAACTGAACAGTAAGAGCAATGTCCAAACTGCTGGCATCAACACCACATCTGATTTAAACAGGCTATTGAATCACATTAAAGTTAGTATTTTGGATTACCATAATATCAATTGCTATCAGAGCAGACTGGGCTCTGGTTTCAGACAGAGGGTGAAACGAGGTGGCAGTATGAGAAAAATAAAGAGCATTTTGAAAATTAAAGCATGTAAACATGTCAAAGTAGAGGCACAAAATAAAAATATGTACCTGAAATAAGTATAATAAGGCCCCTTTAAGTATGTGTATGAGACACAGTTTAGAATCAACTCGTTAAAATTACTGCCGAGAACTGATTTCAGCTCGGCGACGTACTATCCAGTTGAGGATTGATAGCTTCTATGTATTATGTTGCATCACAAGTTCTTGGTAGATCCTTGGAAAACATTAAAAAAAACACAATTGTTGGCAGTAGTTGCCATTAGCTCAAGGCTATTTTGCTTTATTCGGTTCCAAGTGTGAACAGCAGTTCATTTCAAACCCTTTTTGACTTTTCAACAAAGCTGTTACTTACACTCTTGGTGTTTTCAGTCAACTCTGACACTTTTATCCAAGTTAGACTGTTTGCAAAGTTTTCAACCCATTGTCTTTGTACTCAATCAACATCCTTTACACAACATTTAAAAAAAAAAGGCCCAGAGGATTACAGGACCACATCTTGAAGGATTATTACAGACTGGTACTGCATATGTCACAGTTAAGTCAGGATTTAGAAACCATTTTAGTTTTTTATTGGCAGCACATTAGGAAACCAGATGTTATACATTTAAATTAAACACATTCAACTTAATGAAAGTAGTTTTTATTCTTCTTGCAAAGTCTGTTATGTTATTTTTGTGTCAGTTAGTGGAAACATCATAAGGTCAAATGCAACCACAACAACTTAGTTAACATATATTGCTGAATTGCCATATTTCTGTTAGTGTATTCAAGTGATATTGTTTATATTTTATACTCTTTACAGAGAATCATGTCAGGCTGCGTCTGTGGAGAAAGGTAGCTGAACCGCAGAAAAATGGAGTTCGAAAAGTTCATGCCATGTGGAAGGTAAGGACACCTCTCATTAGATTGCACGTTTTTACACTTTCAAACTCATGAATTAATATATAACTCATAATTCAGCTTTTCAGCCTTTCATTCCCCCACATACTCCTTACATAACTTATTAAATAAAAGAGCTCTGATCTGTCTACAGGAGATTCCTTCAACATGCCGAGGCACATTTACCTACACTATTGAACCGACTCTTTACAAGGAAGCCATGATGGGAGGAAACTATACGGAAACTTTATGTGGCGAGTCAGGCTGTGATGTTGAAGTGAACCAAGATGCACACAGAATAAACCTCAACATGTTCCATAATGAAACCCTGCTTGTTGTTAACGCAGTTCATGTCCCAGCAATTGGAGAAAGTGAGTTTTAATGCTATTGATCTTTGCTCTTTTAATGGGTAACCAGAATTAATGGATCATATTGAGCTTCCTTTCACTTGATCTCACTTGGCAGGCCTCCCTCAAGTTACCGACATCCAGACCTCAGCCCTTGAAGGCGTTATTCTGGTCACCTGGAAAGCCCCTATCCAGCCTGTCAGTGGTTACATGATTGACTGGACCCACGATGGGAATCAATATAATTGGAAAGAGACCAATTACACAAATGCCACTCTGTCTGGTAGGTCATGGAACGAGCATTAAATGGTTGATGGATGTTGGATAAAAACTTTGTGCGGTTTAATATTACAGTGTTACTGATGGAGTATGACTCACCATCAAAACCGGTCTGATCCACTGTGGGCTGTGACTTAACATGTCAGTCATCAGAGCAATTTATGTTTAATCTTTCATCTTCTGAGTGCGGAACATAATAGATTCATTGGCATTGTCATACGTAATGATAGAAGCTTCTCTGTAATGCATTTTCCATTAGTTCAAGATCTTTGACGTGTCTCTCATAGAAATTAGATATGCTACAGTCTTTTCTGTTTCTTTCCTGCTTCTTTCTCTTAAAGGACAGACACTACAGGCAAAACATTATTAATGTTTGTTAAAGGGGCTGTTTTGCTTCTTTTATTTTCTGTCATTTTCCGGTGCTATCTTTAAAGTGTAACCTAAAGGCTATTAATGGCAGCACTAAGAGAAAATCAACAGTAGAGGATCCCAATCCATTGCTGCGTCTCAATTTGGTAGAACACTTTCATGTATTATTTTCAGTTCAATGTACTTAATTGTGAGGTGCGGTACATTTCAACAGGGTAGTGTTGTCTCAATTGGAACTCTGTTCTTGCGTGAAAATACAGATTGCTAAATTTGACTGTTTCTTCTTCTTCTACTTCTGCTTCTTTTTAATTGCACATTTTAAACGGACATAGCATTACACTGCGAGTGTCGCCTGCTAAAAGGTATCCCTACTGAACAAATGTATTGAAGTAAATGAAAATGTATGGGATTTGACCTTTAGCTGCTTGTGTATCCTCCTGTTTCACGTGAGATGAAAATACACCAGCATACAACCACCTTTTTGGTGTTCTTTTATATTCTGCTACATAACCAAGATGGCAACCTTTTAGGTTGAGAACTGTCCACCGTTCAACATTAGACTTTTTGAGTTTAGACAGACTTAGCACTGAAAACACCAAGAGTTTGACAGTCAGAACCCAAATTGAGAAACAGCACGTCATTTTAGTTGTCAACAAAATGGGGAACGACCTGACTGGCCGAGAGAGAGGATTACATCAATGGCTATATTATGATTTAACAACCACTTTCCCTTTGCATATGTATTTTATTTTCAGAGATGTTTTACTTCCTTACAGGTCTCCTGGATAAGAAGCCATACAATGTTACAGTTACTCCCCTCTTTGTTGATAAGACCGGTCATGGCACACAAGCCCTTCAGATCTGCTCCAGAGTGGGGGGTATGTCATTCTGATTATTTTTTTCTGATTATATATAAGTATTTTTTCCCATGTTTTACCAGACTGTTTTTGAAAATGTGTTCCCGACAGGTCCAGGAAATGTCACTATCCACATTAATAAGACTAATGCCAAAAATGCTCTGGTGAGCTGGGATGTGAAGTCCCAGGAGGAATGCAGTGGTGACGTTGTCAAATACATCGTCTTCTACCGTAAACTGGACCGTCTGGAGCTGTGGCTCAGTGAGTCCAACTCAGGCTCATTTAAAGTTTGCAAATCTGTTGAAATGATATTTTTCCACTTATCTTCATAGCATTTTTGTCATGGTCTTCTTCCAGATGTGACTGTAATTGGCACAGAGCAGTCCATCTCTTTGGAAGATCTGCTTCCAGACACCCAGTACGAATTCTATGTCAAGGCCACGGCTGCTACTGGAACTACCAAAAGCACTGAAATGTTCTTTAAAACTAAAAGATTTGGTGAGTACTCTGTAAGAACTCAAACATACATGTATATACATTTGACCCTATTTCTATGAGCACAATAGCAGAAAACCAAGAGAAAGGTATAGGCATGAATAGAAATCGTCTATTCTGAATGTTTTCAGCCCATTGAATGGTCCTCATCAGTTACTATCACTGCCACTCAAATGGTTCAGACAGGGCAACATGTTCAACTGCACCTACTTGCACTTTGCAAATGTAAGATTTAAACATGTGCTTCACATTGTAAACGATAACAAAATAACTTGTTTTAGGGTAGGTGACATAACTACTTGGTTAGGTTAACGAAAAGATAATTTGGGTCAAAATATATCCTTTAAGAAAAGTATAGAAAAGGAAATTAGCAGCGCTTAGTGCTCTCAATCTTGAAAAGTGTATCGAGTGCACGGTAATGGCAAGGTCCTCTTACATTTTGTGGGAATAAACAAGCATGTTTCAGATAGAAGCTAGCATAATCAACAAACAACAAACTCCTAAATAAATGTATTCTTTTGTTCTGTAGGTCGGTGGTTCATCACAACACTCGTTGTCTGTGGAGGCGTCGTTATAATTCTTGTGTTATCTCTTGGATTAGGCTGTGCTATTTCGTAAGTTTCAATCTTTTATGGTCACTTTTTAGTTTAGAGACTGAAGCAAGGACATTTCCTTATCATCAGTAATACAATGTAGTACATTTTGCTGCCATACAAGGAATAATCTTCACATTTCTGACCACAAAATCTTGAAAAATGGTGTTCTGATGATTCTAACAATCTGATTTTTAGGTGGAAGAAATTCAGGGAGAAGCCGGTACCGAACCCTGGCTGCAGTTCTTTGGCGTTGTGGTCACCAAGTGAAGAGGTGAAATACAACATTATTAGAGTATCTGTGGTAGGGAGTACATTCAATATTAATGTATTTGCAGTCTGGGAAGAACACATGAAAAGCTGTTGCTTTAAGAGGGTAGTCATGAAAATGATTTAATAAACTGGGGTGTTTTTTAGCTGTGACCAACTGAGCTTTAGCCCCTTTAGATACTTTTAAATAAGTACTAAAAAGATAGAGAATGCTAATGATTTCACTATTTATTTTTTCCAATTTAACAAAAGAAAAATATATATTTATGTTTGGTGAGTTGCAGCCCTGTTTTAAATGGTATTTCCCGGCATGAATATCAAATGTATTTATACTGTATGTAAAGTTATAGGTACACATTGTTTTGTTTCCGTTCTGTTTGTATGTTGTCTTTTGTTAATAATGAAAAAGAGAATTACAGAAAGAAAACATTGATGAGAATTTCATATTTCTCAGAAGGTTTTAGATGGACAGATCCATGTCATAATTCTTGAACCACGTTTTACCTCCTGGACAATCATCTTTCTGTGTGTGTCATATACATAGGGAACGGGATCCATTTGGCAATTCAACAATCCATCTGAGAGCATCTGTGACAGGGTTTACACGGAGGAAAGTCAGAAAACGTCAACATCTCCTCTAGGTTCAGGTTTAAATCCAAACCCAGCCTTTTACCAGACAGACGAATACATTGACCCAGACATGGCATCAGCACCAGAAACAGACCCTGAAGAGCGGCTCAAACCTGCAAAGACGCAGCATCGCTCCTCTCCTAATGACTCAATAGAACCGCTTCTTCCTGAGAACAGCCCCTGCAGCCCGTATCGGAGTCAGACTTCTGTGGAAAATCCGGGCAAGAGGCCTAATAAACAAAACAAACATTCTCCAGTGAAACAGCCAGATAGAAAAACACCTGTGATGGTCTATGTCACTTTGGACATGTTTGAACAAAACCAGTGCAAGTGAGGGAAATGGAAACTATAATAACATTCCAAGAGTCAAGAATAATCTCCAGAAAAAGCAGATTCTTGCGAAATACTAGAGTGTTTGTTGCATTAGGAGGCGTGTGGCGCCTTGGTGTTAGGACCAGGGGGTCACAGGTTCAAACCCCTCTGCAGTCAGCATGTCGTTGTGTCCCTGGGCAAGACACTTCACCCCAAATTGCTCCTGTGGGGGATTGCCCACAGTATTGAGTATGTAAGTCGCTTTGGATAAAAGTGTCTAACAAGTAATGTAATTACCGATACAAACATGTGATATATAAAGCTAAACAACTTGTGTAGAAAATGCTTTATTGAGTACATAGATATGTGCATGACAATAACGGTATATTTATCTGGCAACAGTTTCTGGTCTGATTTGATGCAAAGTTAATGAAAGAAATGCATTTTTTTAATTTAGTATTTACAATCAGTACTAAATATTAAGAACACATTCATTTTAGGTCGTTTTTATTTCTATATTGCAATACAATTGGGGCCATCTTATGAAGCTGCAATTTGTTTGTGTAATGATAGCATGCTGAGAATATATATAAACGGTGAAAACTATATGTTGGTGTAAAAGTCATAATATTAGCTATGTATTATAATAATATTGACTTATGTTTCATGTTTTTTATCAGTGATATCTGCATTTATTATAAAAAAAAAAGTAAACAACTTACTGTACACTGGAAAGCTATTACTCACTCCTTGTTTTACTTTACCATTTTAAAATGTAAACGTAACAATGACATGTACTATTCATAAGCTATTTAATATTAAAGAAATTACATACATGTTGTGGTCTACATGCTGTCTTGGTATTTGTGTAAAACAATTTGTATTGTTCTGCTGGTAAATGCTGTACTTAACACCTTTGAGGTACTTTGGTTATTTTTTCCTTCACACTTCACTAGAATTCACAGTAAAATGTTCTACTTTCTTCCTTCTCTACGAGTTTTTAAGCACTTTTTTGTTTGTTATCACTATTTTATTTGATGGTTATTTTCCTACAATTTATCTTCTTTGACTGTGTTTAGGCTATGTATGCACCAAATTCACAAATTCCTAGTGTGTATGTTTTTGAAACAGAGTGAGAAACGTCAGTGATATGGTCAGAGAGGCAGGACGGTGAAGGGGATACTGGGAACAGAAGGAAATGGGGTAAAAGCTACCAGAAATGCCCTTTTTATTTTTTTGGGTGAAAAAAGGCTTTAAAATGGTTTAAACATGGTTTTATACTTCCACGAGTGGTGATTTGGTCACATGATGATGCACAGTCTTGAAACATCATGTCTACTCTACAGTGGGTGGCGGTATAGACCTTTACATTGTTTACGACCCGCCAATGTTTCGAGAGAAGAAGAAGACGTAGAATGCTAGCTAGTTTAGCTCAAGCTAGCTAGCTCGTTGGATGCACTGAAGTGATGTTATGCTAGCTATTTGCTAACTATCTGGATTTCAGGGAAACAGACAAAAAACCTAACATCGTTTTTGGAATGCTTAACCAGCCTTGAGTCGATACAACCTATGTTTGGTGTGATTACCCTCCGGCCCGTCATGAAGTTGACCGGGCACACAGTTGTCGGATGATTCTCCTGAATTAGTAGCTAAAGGGCCTCGAGTCCGCGGTGCTCGGGTGAAGGACAGCCGGGGATCAGCGCCTACTGAGAGCGGGAGCTTTGAGCCACAAGCCAACTAGTAATACGAGGTTTTATTTATTATAACTGTACCACAACCTATCCTCATCATGTCACACACCGGACCCCCTCCTCGATGGCGGAATTGTCCCAGAAGAGGACAACCTGTGGCAGGTGAGTGAAAAATAACATGACATTAAATTAATCTGCTTAATGTACGGAGTGCTATTGCTACGAGCTACGCAATATGCTGGTTTATCATGTGTTTCTGATGCGTTATGATGTGCTTTTTAATTTCTCAAACGTCCTTTTATATCAACCAGTACTTGGCTGTTGATGTTCAGTTTCAGTCATACATACATTGAATGGCTAGCATCACAACATTGTGACGATGGCCACCAGTGCAGCCCAACTTCATACTATTATATTTAAACGTAGTGCTGTTGTGAGATTGGATACCGAACTGACTAAATAACCTTAATAAACGAATAGAGCTCAGTCTTTCTTTAATTGAAGATATATGTGTCATTTGTGGCGAGAACACCTTAAATAGCCACATTTGTAAATGTAGTTGTGTACGACACTATTCAGGCGCGCATTGTTTGGCTAATTTGGCAGCTGTGGCTAACTTTCTGGCAACTCCTAGCAGAAATGAGTGCTTTTAAGTTAAAAACGCCTTATTGAATTAGCAACATAAAGCTGTTGTTGGGATGTGTTTGGATCATTTATTCCCCACTGTCAGAAAAGTGCTACTGAGTTGGCTAGCTTCCTTGTCACGTGTCAAAACAAACCGTGGCTATAGCATGGCTGCATATGAAGCTGTGTTGTGGTCCTTATCTATAAAAGTTATGTTTAACAACATGTCTACTTGGATAGCACATTGCCAGGCTAATCTGTGCTCCAAGTTGGCTTTGTATCAAAGCAGTAGTCTAGAGAGATGTGACATTATAAAGCACAGCTACTGTTAGTGACAATTTCAGCTATATCTGTGTTATTATATCGGCTATTTAATACAGGGATGGGTCCAATATTTTATTTGATATGAACCACCCTTAGCTTTGCAAGCAAGTACGATTCCATCCTTAATTCAACACGATAACAGAACTTAATTCCACCTTGGTTTGACACTTCACCTGCTGTTTTTATCAGATGTTATTTAGTATGATGAAGTGTGGTTTTCATGGTAACTTTTGACAAGTGTTTGCAGTCTTTCAGACTGTGTGTTTGCGTAATTCACTACTTATGTTAAGGATAAAACCTCCCTGTAAAGAAACATTACGTTTTAGCTGAGCCAACTCATCAGGTTTCCTATTCCGAGTACAGATAGTTTTATTGAGAAATTGTACAGAGAGTTTTATGGAGAAACACTGGTTAATTCCTTGTGTGACTCCTGTTTGCTATATCAATATATTCTTGTAAATTCGTTTTGAAGACTTATCTTTCAGTGTTTCTCACAGAATTTGATTCCATTTGTGGGGGCACCCCCCCCTAATCCCCCCGGGCAAGAAAAGCCAAAGGCCCCTTAACCTATTCGGGTGGCCCACTCATCCACCCTCTAATAAGAAGATACATGCGAGTTCATGGCTACTGTAGACAACGTTCTTGTTGCGTTGTTAATGAGTGAGACACACCAGAGTTGAGGATCTGTGGGGTTTATTCTCCCGAAAATATAATTTACAATTCAGGCATTTAGCAGACGGCTTATTCCAAAGCGATTTACAATGACCAATTACAGGGACATTCTCCCTGGAGTAACTGAGGGCTAAGTGCCTTACTCAAGGGCACACTAGTAGGCGGGATTTGAACTCGCAACCTTCTGATCATCAGCCCACCTCACTATCCATTAGACCACCAAAATAAAAATAAATAGAATAATTATCTTCAATTTGTCGCGGACGATATTTAATTGTGGCGGCCCCCCACAAATAAATGTATGGGAAACTGTCTTTATTGAAAGGCTTTCTTATAATTTCTACTCTAATTCATGAGCTTATTTGTGTTCCTTCTTTGTTGTGTTGTATGCCTTTGTTTTCAAGAGCCATACAATAAGGTTTATTATTCTTTATGTTCCATCCATAGGTAAATTCCTGCCAATGAAAACGATGTTGGGTCCCAGATACGACGACCAAGTCCCAGAGGAGAACAGATTTCACCCGGGCATGCTGTCCAACTTTTTAAAAAGTCTAAAAGTAAGTAACTCTGTGAAGACTTGATTTCTAAGTGACATTTTAAAGTAAGAAAAACAACAACACAACTAATGAGTCTTTTTTGTGTGTTATTCTCTCTAGGTGAAAATGGGTTTGCTTGTGGATTTGACGAACACTACGCGTTTTTATGACCGCAACGACATTGAAAAAGAAGGCATCAAATATGTGAAGCTTCAGTGTAGAGGGTACGAGTAAATTCCCTGTCATGCGTTAAACTAATTGTGAGTTGTTGTTTATGTAGTGCTATTGTGCTAAGACGAGTGTCATTCTGTTTTGTTTTAGCCATGGAGAATCCCCGTCGAAAGAGACTACTACATCTTTCATCAGTATCTGTGAACACTTCATCGAGAAGAATCCTACCGAGATAATAGGTAAGTAAACAAATCTATAACTCATTATTTGTTCTCGCACACGATTTGTATCTTCTTCAATAGTCATAGATATGACATTGTAGCATCAAATCGATGTTTAGCATATGTATAAATGTGAGTCAGATTTAAAAAATAAAAGCAGAAGTTTTCATTTCTTTGAGCCATTTCTTAGCTCTTTTAACTTTTAATTAGCAGTCAATTTATTATTATTAAGGTTAGTAGTAGAAAGTATATTTGATTATATATAGTATTTGGTTCCCTCTCTGACTCATATAGTGAAATACTTTTTTCATTGAACGATTGATTAAATGATTGCATTAGTTTTCCATGTTGTTTATGTCAAAGCCTCTTTGCATGTCTCTGATTTTTTTTAACCTATATCAATGTGACTGAAATCCATGAAGTGTGATATTTAGGGCTGTCAAGTTAACGCGTTAATAAAATGTTTTTTAACGCCACTAATTATTTTAACGTGCGATTAACGCATGTGTATTTGTCCTCGGCCCGCCCCGTAGTTTCAGAGCCCAAAGGCTTGACGTTGTTGTTGTTAGTTGGATGGTGGGAGATTCTAGCGAGAGATATGGATACACAAAAATGTGTTTTAAACAGCTGATGCTGACAGCCCCGCTCCTGCTGCTCGCTTGCGGCAGACCACGCTTGAAAGTTTGCCGGGGAGACGCCTGGACAACCACAGCGAGAGCTAAATGGGTGGCTACAGCTTAACATTGTGGAGGACGAGGGGCTGCGTTAGATCATTCGGATCGCATCCAACGTCTCGACTGCACATCACAGCGCATTATTGACCCTAGGTGGGAACTTCAGTCTCATGCTTTGACTGAAGATGAAGACAGAGGAGCGGCATTTCGCCGACAACTGTAAACAGGCTTGTCTGTTTGAGCAACTGGCTCAGTGCAAATAAGTACACAGGGTTGGGAGAGAGTGTGTGAGAGAGAGAGAGGTTCCAGGTTGTTGTATTGAGAATATTCAGGAGAATATTTGTCATTGATCCAATGATAATAAACAAACATTTGTATAAAGCATGTCCACTCATATGTTGATAAGAGTATTACAAACTTGAAAAATATCCCTCTAAGGAACATTTAGAACAGATACAAAATGTGCGATTAACTATGGACATCATGCGATTAAATATTTTAATCGACTTTCAAGTGTTAAAACAGCTGGCACTGTAAAAGAGTTACAGCTTTGCCTTCACATGAGCTCATTTGGAATTTTCTTTGATGCGTTTTATCACCTCCAAGTTTTCCAAGTATCCATTTGTCCCCCTCAGTACGACTCTTAACGTCAAATCGTAATTACCAACACCTGGCGCACAGCCGTTTTATTTCAAAAAAACATTACATTGCTGCTTTTATTATGAAGTTAAGACTAATTGAAACTGCACATAATACACATACGGGTAATGATAGAAGAGGCTTTAAGCAATATAGATTTATAAATGTCTGCCTTATCCATTCTACTGTGATATTAACCTGCATACTGCTTACTTAAGTAAAGGTTATTTGTACAATAAAGTAGCTGAGATCCACTAAAACAAGCTTTAAGATGTTCATAAAATGTCTGCCTTGCATTATCCCTCAGATAATATAAATTAAAAAAAATAACAGCATCCTGCAACTAATATTTCTAAACTTAACTTTTTTTCCTTAATTTCTAATGATATTCTTGTGTTGCTTCTCTGATACATCATGCTAAACTATTAACAAACATCTGTTATGCTTATTAACTGTATGCAGTCTATATATAACACTTATTTTAAGTGTAAAAGGAATTTAAATATATTTTCTAAAACTGATTGTTTGTCCAAATACTGCATGGTGACTTTATATATACAGTCTATGATGCTGACCCATGAGTTGCATCACATTATGGTTCCAGCAGAGAGCAGTGTTACTCTGAAATGGAACTGTTGTCAGGTTGCATGCTTTATTTTATGTTCAAACATACAATGCATTTTTAATATTAATATAGTAACACGGGTAAACATCAGACATCTTCCCAGGACAACAGTTATCAGCTGATGGTCACAGAGCAAATCTATAAAACAACAGGAGGTTAAATGGCCGTCCAAAGGTTTGCGTCACAAGTCAAGTGGCACCTGCACATTTCCAAAAATACATTGCTACCTAATCCACATCCTTAAAAAACAAAATATCGTTGTGCAAGTGATGTTGTTTGTATGTGTGGGAGTTTCACATGAGAAAAAACACTCCTCCCCCACTGTGTAGGTGATGTTAAGGTGAAAGGAGGCACTAAGCCTAACTAAAAAAGTGAATGTTTGGTTTTTAAAAGTCAAAATAGTGTATATTTTGTGTTATGAGCAGGCCTTTCCCAAACGTTTTCTATCCATTTTATTTTGCAACTTTTTGTTATTTGAGATTATGCTATTTCTTTCTTAATCTCTTTCTTAAGTCTGTTCTTAAATGTGGATAGCTGGTGCTCTTTTATGTCATTGCTATTGTTTTCCAGCCCGACTTGTAGCGTCTCTGCGTTTTGTCCTGTTAGCTCTTCCTTGTATTTGCTAGCTTCAGAAGCGTCTTCCATTTCAGGTTCTTCAACTTTGTTTTGCTTTTCGTCACGTTTCCTGCTTCTTTGATCACCTTACCACTATCCTTCTTTTATCCTTTTTAAATAATGAATTTTCTCCTCATTTTTCTCTTTATTTGCGAACAATATTCAGCTTTTACATTACGCTTATGTATGTTTGTTTGTAGCCTTTATTTAACCAGGTGAAATCCCATTGAGATCAAACGATCTCTTTTTCAAGGGTGACCTGCAGCAAGTTGGTTACACAGCAAAACATAAAAACAACAGAAAACAAAAAGGACATCATACAACATAATTACAGGGGTATCATTTACAAACTATGGACAATGACAGGTACCAAGAGTATCAAATTGCATTGCATCTAGCCGAGCTTTAAAACGATGCAGGGGAACCAAAATGCTCAGTTTCAATTATTTTTTAGAGTTTTCCAAGCTAGAGGAGCAGTGCACATAAAAGCTTTTGTACCTAAATCAGTCCTAGCATTTGGCACATATAACAAAAACACATCCTGAGATCTTAGGCAATAGCTACTTGCAACTCTCTGTGAGATCAGAGAGCAGATGTAAGGTGATCGTTTACCCAACATGGCTTTGTAGATAAACATGTACCAATGACTGAGTCTCCGAACAGTTAGTGAAGGCAAACCTGCCCTGGCCTACAGGGTACAGTGATGAGTGAGTGCTTTACAGTTTGTAACAAATCTCAGCGCACTGTGATAGGCGGATAGGCTTAATTGCAGAATGGTAAATTCCTATCATGGACACATCGATATAGAAGCTGCACTTCCACAGTTTTGCCAGCTGGGGGCTCTCTTATACTTCCCCATGGCATTATTACCCTGTTCAGATCTGCTCTTACCTACCTACTGCCGCCTGGCCTTTAAATCACATCGCTCCAACATCAGAGCAGAATGTGTGAATGTCAGCTCGGCCGTGTCCTGTCTTTGGCCAGCTGGTGATTAGGCTTTGTGGTACTCGTGTCCAAATCACACAGTCGGGCTGGTGAATGTGATCCCCATCCTCTGATGTTGGTTCATTTCATCTTCATTAGCGTCGCCAGGCAAACAACTGTCATTTGTGTGTTTTGGACACAATTTACATCAAATGAAAAGGCATGGTTTTATCAGTTGTTGCTTTTGCTCTGCCCTTTTCATCCACTTTCTCCATCCCTGAATGTTTCATCAATCTCTGCATCTCTTCTCTGTGTGTGAGGCTGGTGTGTTAATGTGGGTATAAAGGCAAGACCCCCTCTAAATATACATCTTCCTGTAATCTCTTTGAATTGATGCCACTACTCAAAATATGGCCTCATTACATCTCAAATAGGCCTGATGTAAGAGGGGAACTGGGAAACTGACTCCACACTCACATCAGGCAAAGTGAAATTCAATGTGTGAAGGCGTCGAGGATAATTCAGGGATAGAGATTTAGATCTACAGAATACTTCATGATTACACTTCCAGAAGTGTTTGCTTAAAGGTGGGGTAGGTAATTTTGGAGAAACCAGCTCGAGTGCGCTAGAATTTGAAAATACACAGCCGGAAGAAATCTGCCACTTCCTTACAGAGCCCCTCCTCCAACACACACGAACGCGCACATGACCAATGAGGGCACGAGATAAGTTTGTGCCCCGATGGAAGGCTGACAGGCAGGTAGGCCATCCAGTTACTTTAGTCGGGCCGGCTCAGATGATTGGTCGTGGTTTTGAAAGTACTACGGCTTCCACAGATGACTTTTTTAATGGATTTTTTTGTCAAAGCACTGAAGATATTCATTGCTATCGGGATGTTAAGAGCATTCCATGGAATATAACAAAAAGTGTATCTCGAGCCGGTTTCTCAAACTTACCTACCCCACCTTTAATGCTTAAGGTTTAATATAAATGTAAATCTTAAGTGGGATTCTCAGTTTGTAATCCCTCTCCCGCCTCTTTTCCTTTCTCCTGAAGGTGTTCACTGCACGCATGGCTTCAACCGGACTGGCTTTCTGGTGTGTGGGTACCTGGTGGAGAAGATGGACTGGAGGTAACACTTGACCTCCTTTCATCACTCCCTCTGCTCCGAGTGCAATTTTACTACCTTCACTTGTCTTGCATGATAATGTGAAGCCCCTCCTAGTGTCTTCCATCACAACCCCTGTCAGTCTGTGAATGCCGTCTCCTCCTGATAGTTCCTAAATGTGTGACGGCACGAGAAGTTGCACTGTCAGTTTGAATCAACAGAAGCTGCCGGGTTAGCAGTGACCGCGCTCCTGCCCCTTTGACAGATGTTAAATAATTTACAGCGGCTGAGCAGAGGGGAGGGTGGGGAAGTGTCTTTAGTCAGAGGTGGAGCAGCAGTCTGAGGAGGCAGAATCCCTGGAAGCTGTCTGCGTGTATTCAGGATGAAACCCTCCCACCGCCCACCTCCTCCTGAGTAATGAGGGATCTGGGAGCATTCACAGCCTCCTTCCAGTGTAGCAACATCATTTTACAACCGAATAATCGACATTTTTATTTGGATATGTGGCTAGTCATTTAAATATACCTGCTGTAAATAACCTGCATGAGGTTTTCATCGGAGTTATTTTGTCTATAAAACGTCAGAAAAAAGTAGGGCTGTGCAATTAATCGTATTTTAATCTCGATTACGATTTTGGCTTGCAACGATTACGAAAACAACGTAATCGAAATAAAACTATTATTATTTTTTATTTATTTGATTTCTTTTTTTATTAATTTCTATTTATTGGTTTTCCAGTTGAATTATACTTAAAGTTCAGGGTAATCAACTGTTAAAAACATACTGTTCACATTTCTTTTTTCAATAAATGGATGTTTTCAAAGTAAATGGATAATCGTTTTTAATTATCGTGATATCAATTATTGACCAAAATAATCGTGATTATGATTTTTGCCATAATCGAGCAGCCCTAGAAAAAAGTATATAAAAGGAACACCACTCTTTCCTAGAACCAAAGATGATGCCCTTTTGATATAATGATTTGAAGTAGCTTTTATACGACACTATCAAAGACCCTAAACCAATCCATTAAAAGCTGAAGCAATCAATGGAATAATTAATCATTGAGATAATTTGTTTTTGCTTTCAAGATAAGATGACAAGCTTCCCACTTTTTGTATATCCAATATGAGGAGTAGCTGCTTTTACTGTTTGTTTGTCTATCTTTGAATTATGGACTGTTGTCTGACACTAACATGATATCTAATGGGCTTTAGGAGATTGTGAAGGGGTGCCTATTTTTTTTTACTACCGTTTTAAACACTAAACTAGATCATGCTCATGCTGACGTACAAATGGTCCTCAACTGCAGCCACTATTTCATTAACTTCAATGTAAGACATAGAAAAGCAGCACACTGACATCTGAGACGCTAAAATCATCAAATGTTTTGAATGAATGCTTGAAAAATTACTTATTAACTGATTAATCAAGTATCACAATATATGCTGATTATTGTTTTTTCCACCAACTTCTACCTCTAGTTATGATAACCAGATAAAATGAGAAATACAGAAAAATAAACGACATTGAAAAGAATAAAATATAATCTGATTCTTTAAAGATGCCCTGTCTGTGTGTGGGGTATTTCTATATTACTTTGTAAGAGTAAACCCCAGCTCGGTTCAAATATACCAAAACCCAGTGAACAAAGATAACAGTACTCCAGTTTCAAGTTTACTTGCTGCAAGGAGAATCAGCGAGTGACAGGTCATGTCAACTCCAAAACCAACTCTCAGCTAGGAGAATCGGCGAGTGACATATGCCATGTCCACTCCTTAACCAACTCTCAGCTAGGAGAGCCAACTCTCTAACCGACTCCCACTCGCCTCCTCTCAGTGCAGTCCTTTTATTTCAACAATACAGTTACAACTCATGTATGAGGAAGTGTATGTAACCAACGGCTTATTTGTCAATGGGAGTCTTGTGACTCGCAATCGTGTGTGTGTGTGTGTGTGTGTGTGTGTGTGTGTGTGTGTGTGTGTGTGTGTGTGTGTGTGTGTGTGTGTGTGTGTGTGTGTGTGTGTGTGTGTGTGTGTGTGTGTGTGTGTGTGTGTGTGTGTGTGTGTGTGTGTGTGTGTGTGTATATCAATCACAGAAAAGAGGAACAGACTATTCTCTGTTCCTCTTTTCTGACTATGGTCTCTTTACAACATAAAATGACAACATATTATGAAAACACGTTTATCCTTCAATAAACTCTAACACTGTGTTGTCGCCTCTTATCAGCGTGGAGGCAGCCGTGGCGGCGTTCACGCAGGCCCGGGCCCCCGGGATCTACAAGGGAGAGTACCTCAAAGAGCTTTTCCGTCGTTATGGAGACGAGGAGGACTCACCCCCTGCCCCTGCGCTCCCCGAGTGGTGCTTCGACGACGATGACGAGGAGGACGTGGACGACGATGGAAAGTCTGTGGGCCAGGATTCGGGCCCCAGCTCCTCGGGGTCATCGGCTGGCAAACGAAAGAAAGAAAAGCTCAAGCTGGTAAGACTTCCGGGAAAAGGACTGCTAAGTGGACTGCATTGGGTTTCCCCTCTCTGAAGGACATAGGCCTCATGCAGTGTCTAGGGAGGCATTTCTTCTCTGTGGAAAAAGCTCCTATGTTATATATAGAAAACAAAATGCGCATCACAACATCTCAGACCGAGTGTTCATATGTCAGGGTGTCCGCGGGGTCTTAAAAAGTATTAAAAGTTGATAATCAATTTAGCGAAAAACGGCATTTTCCAAGGTATTACATTTTGTAGCTTGTTTTCAATAAGTATATCAATTGTCCAAAGAGGTTGTATTCTACAGTCTGCCTGAATGTAATCATTGCGTAGGTGTGTAGTGTGATTCTGTGTAGTTTATTTATGGCATCCCGTTGGGTTTGACGTCATCTGAACAGGACATCGCACGCTCACTGCTTGATAGCGCGCGAAGGTCCGTTTACGCCGGTTGTTCAACAACATCGTTATGGGGAAATGCAAGTTTGCGTCCAAATGGTTGGAAGATAAGGAGGAAAGACAATCAATACTGTATATAGTCAATGTGAGGTAAAGTGTGTCGCCAAGGCAACCGGTTAGAACTCCAAGTGGCGATGAGGTCTTAAAATGTATGGAAAGGGTCTTAAAAAAGGTCTTAAAAGGTATTCAATTTGACTTCAGGATTCCTGCATATACCCTGTATGTATCCAAACAATAGTCCAACACCACAGGATCGTCTGCTTACTCTCTTATACGGCACCAAAAAGCAACAAATCGTCACTTTCAGAGACAGTAACTTGTACATTTGTGTCAGTTTTGCATTATTAACTTATTATGGCAAATTGTTTAACTTTTGCAAAATTATCCAGGTTGGAGATTTCTTTCATGCGAAGCTTAACATAAGTAGAGAGGTTATTTGCTTTGATTGTCACTCCGATGTATATACAGTTTTGTGTGATAATTTCCCAACATGATATGTATCACTACCACAAAACAATCTTTAATATTCTCATGATGATGTTTTCCGCCATGTCGTCCAGCCACACTCATTTTCCATTGGATTTTGTGATTCTCATGTGCATTTTGTTCAATTACATTTTCACATCTCTTGAATACTGAAGGTAAAAACTCCTTTGGGATCGAAAGGTGAATCATGACGAGGGGGCTTTGTCTTCTCACTGCAGCTGTTCGTACAAAAACATATGCACTAATGGCTCTTGAGGTGACCTATATTATCATACCACATGTGTAACTGATCTCATAGCCATGTATTATCATATTATACCAGTTAGAAGACTTATTTGCACAATGAGGAGGAGAAGGGTGAATAGTTGGGATTAGAAATTGAGGTGAATCATCTTTAGTCGAGAGAGGAGTGAGACAGACGTCGTTAGTGTATCTCTCCAACCACATATGAGATGTAAGGGCTATAGGCGTGAAGGAAGTGAGGAGGTGCAGAGATAGTGAGGTTCCCTGGGAGATGAATCAGAGGAACACGGTTTTAAAGGTGAATTCATAAAATGAGTGCAACATTTTTTTTCTTTAACAGAGGTAAAGAACTCGAAGGAGCAGCTGTTTGTGAAATATCTCGGGATATCAAATGTTTTTTTCCCTGTACGTGTAGGAGGGTATGAGTGTCTCTTTTAATTAAATCCAAGTTTAACTTTCTCATTCTACATCCTCCCAGGGTGCAGTATTCCTTGAAGGCATCACGGTGAAAGGCGTCTCACAGATCACCACACAACCCAAACTCGGAGAGATCCAAAGAATGTGTCAGAGGATGGCCGAGTGGGAAAGGTGAGAATCTCCCTCTGCCCTCCTTTCAGCCGCTCCGTGTGTACTAATACATGTGGGTGTACTGTACTGTGTTGTTCAGAGTGACTCATTTGTTGTAAGCGCCTTTAAAAAAGAAAAACGATGTTGACACTTTGACAGGCGGCAGTCGAGAATAGATTTTTCAGGAGAAATTTGCTGCTGTAGCTTTTTAAAAAAAAATAATTTGCAGAAAGTCAGCTATACTGATGTGTCACACAACAGACAACACTGCTGTTCCGCTGCCTTCTTTCCCCAAAGTTTCTGTTATACTTGAAGCAAGCATGAGCTTAAAAAGACATTTCACATTGACTTTGGAAGAGGTTGTTTTTCTATCTCTGTGTATTCAAAAAACAGCCAGATAAAGTAAAACATAGGCTTTTTAAAGAAATAAAGAACTTAAAAGTAACTAGAAAAGTGCCATTCCTATGTGCATTGACTCCTAAGCCCTTTGAGTGCGCTAAGAAACCCTGAAAGTTTGTCTGGATGTTTTTGTCCATTTGAAAGTGGCACCCATCATGGCGCATGCTGCAAAATAATTCACAGCATCTCTCCCACCTGCTGTTTGATTATTAGCTGCTAAAGAGTCAGCATCACACCTGTAGGCCCCCGCTATAAATGCTACGATTAAACAAAATCTCTAAGGCTTCATACATACTTTATCATAAAAAGACCACATATATAACTTAATGTAAGGGCCCATGTCGTGCTTTTCCGGTTATTACCCGTCTCCTTGTGTGTTATGTAGCTTTTTATGCATGTAAACGGTCTGCAGAGTCACAAATCCTCAAAGTACACCATGTAGCGAGTAAAACTCTAACACAGAAAATACCTGTCTAAGCTGCCCCAGAACGCCTCGTTGGAGATTTTTCTTTTTCATTTTTTTCTTCCGGGAACCAAGTGACGTAACGACGACCCCATGGACTAATTGGTCCAAATGGACCAATCCGCGGAGCCGTTACGCGGACTTCCTCACACACACACACACACACACTGCGGGACGTTGCGTATGGCGTTATATTTGTGCCTCTATCCTGAGCACGCAATGAAACATGTTGAGCATAGAAAATGCGATTGAGCGCGCACTTGAACATTTTTGAGCACAGAGAAATATGTTCTCTCATAAAACTCCTGCTCCGTGCGCAAGCTGACCGCTGCATGCGCGCTCTCTCCCCCGCTCGCTCGACCTCTCCAGCCTGTGCGCGCTCAGCTTTGCCTGCGCTCGCTCAAGTTGTCACAGCGTTACAAATGTGCCACAAAACCAACCAATCGGAGAACTCGAGAAGGTCAATTCTGATTGGCTGGTCCAGCGCCATGTAGAGAGAAGAGTTGCTACAGCGGAAGTCCAAAATGCTTGATCGTCACGTGGTTCAGAGAGACTCAGAAAGTTCCCGGAAGTTCGTGGCGGGCCATTTGAATCACGATTTGAATGCATTAATAACAGGATAGAAATGCAATTTTTGGTAATTAGTGGTCAATAAAGGTTTTGATTTGCAATATTTATACAACATATCGATATGTGTATGTAGTTACATCAATGTGTGTGTTTTTTTTTTTTTTAAATGTGCTAATATTTGAGGATTAAGATAAAATAAGAAGTAGCCTACTTTATTACCAATTGGGGAAATGTTTACGCTGCAGCAGCAAAAGACAAGGAGGCATTGTACATTAGACAGTTAAAAGACTATAATTAAACAATCGAAAATGTAAACATCTTAAATAGAAATAACATAGCATTACAACGTAGAAAGTAGAACATATACATAGTGTGAACAGCTATCTTACCTGTTAACATACATGTTAGGCTAACGTTGCCTTGGTTAAAGAGCCTGTTGTTTATTGCTTTGAATTCTTTAAAACAAATATTATCTTCTTAAACCTGTATGGTAGTCAGGAGCATCACATCCTAATGTTTGATATATTTAGAGGGAGGGAAGGAAGGTTTAAAAATTGTGATTAGATTCATTTCTACCATTTCTTTAATTCATGGTGGTTTTAGTAATCCCTTGGTAATTGAGGACACAAGTAATCTAAAGTACTAATGTCATCTTTATGACTTTCAGAAAGGACAGGAGACCCACAGGTGCCTATATCAATGATTGTCAACTGACAGCACAATGAGTCAAAGGGCTAGCAGCAGCATGATGATGTTAAATGTGTTGCTTTAGGAACATCCATTGTAAATAAATGGAATTCAATAAACATTGAATAGCATATCATGCCGTTTGTCTGTGCCTTTTCCTCTGTGTTGTCCTGGCATATCGTCTCCCCCATGGTTTGCTGTGCTGCCTAGGGATGCTCCAAGCGCTCAGAGAAAGGAGTATGAATGCAAAGTTTCCCCACTGACAGAGAAGAGGAAAGAATGGCTGGCTCAAGTCAGCAGGAGCAATTTAACTATCACAAAAGACAACAACAGCAACAACATATGTGAGGTAATCATATTTTTCACAAACCGAAGACCACACCATTGGGAAGCTTAACGTCTGTTTAATCAAAATAAAGAACAGGGAGAGGCTTGCAAAACTCTGGGAGTTGAGACTCAGGTGCAGGGTGAGGGTCTCATTGCAGGTCTTCAGCCTCCATTGAATCCCCCTGGGGTTCTTGTGCTGAGAGAGGGAGACAGGAGAAAGGGTTAGATACATCTAGCAATAGGGTGGGAAATTGCTGACCTATTTTAAACTTACCTTGTGTTTTCACTCTCACTTAAATCCCTCTCCCTTTGCCATCAATCCAAAATCAGCTGAGCTGCAACATAATACAGACAGGTAATAATCAACAGAATCACAAGGACATTATATGGCTCTGCTAAAAACACTCACCCATAAGTTACGTTTTTGTTTACTGTTTGGAAGTCTCAAATATCCACTCTAAATCCATATCAATAGCGATGTATCACACAAATAGCTCTCTTCCTTATTGTGTAACGTTAACTATATTATACTAGATTGAACTCCAAGATGGATATCCTCATTTCTCCACCCACTACAATCACACACCACAATGTTATATTTAACTAATATGTAACTCCCTCCACCCCGGATAAAAGCACGTTAAGAAGCCCCTTTTCTCTAATTCCACAACGTTGGAAGAAATAACATTAAGAGAACGGATTAATAGGCTGTTCATGGTTAACGTGTGTTGCTAACTTTAGCCGGTATCCTAGCCTCATCTGTCCGGTTGAAAATTAACGCAAGCATATGCCCATTGTAGAACAGCAAACAGAAGTTGGTCCAGGTTCTGGTCAACCCAACATTGTGATAGAGAGAGAAACATGTTTTGTCATTCTGCCACCTCTAATGCTTACAGCAAGTAATCAATACCTCAGAAGGGTTCATGTAGCTACATGTATGCTACGGTTTGTTAGCGGTTTGCTTAAACTACCCCTATAGCTATGTTGCCGGCTAGCAAACTCAGGCATTGCAAACAATAACGTGATATCAGAAAACTAGAAATGTATTACTCACCACTGTGTCGTGCTATTCTCTTCATTCGAGTCTGTCATGTCCTGTAAATGTCAACGATAGATGTGTAATAAGAACGTCAACAGCCTGATGGCAACTGAAAATCCCTCTCTCATCTCAGATAGAAGATATGATTGGAGACGACCAGCCAATCAGAATTGACCTTCTCGAGTTCTCCGATTGGTTGGTTTTGTGGCACATTTGTAACGCTGTGACAACTTGAGCGAGCGCAGGCAAAGCTGAGCGCGCACAGGCTGGAGAGGTCGAGCGAGCGGGGGAGAGAGAGCGCGTGCAGCGGTCTGCTTGCGCACGGAGCAGGAGTTTTATGAGAGAACATATATTTCTCTGTGCTCAAAAATGTTCAAGTGCGCGCTCAATAGCATTTTCTATGCTCAACATGTTTCATTGCGTGCTCAGGATAGAGGCACAAATATAACGCCATAGTTGCGAGGCTCGCTGCTGCGAGGCTCGGACAGTGTGAGTTGGCTTACTGGTGTGGGGTCGGCGAGACACCGCGGAACTCTGCCTGAGCACACACACACACACACACACACACACACACACACACACACACACACACACACACACACACACACACACACACACACACACGCAGCCTCGCCGCGTCCCGCCGTCTCAGGCTGAGAAATCCGCGGAGCTGCAGCTGAGAAAAGATTGAACACGGTACCCAGACCCACGGCCACGCAGCATACTCATCTGTTTGTCATTACTGGTGTCCTTTTCTGGTTGCTAACAAATGCCGTTGTAACACATTAACACACATCAGAGCACAGTGGGCTCATGGGGGGGGCAGGAGCTCCAACAAGGCGTTTAGGACAGAGAGTGAATACACATACTATACAGAGATGCTGTATGAGAAACCAATGTGAGTTTGAAAATTGCACAATATAAATCTATTCTAGTAAACCTCAACCATGGAATTATGATCAGTAGAAATGGCCATGACATGGGACCTTTAATGTATCACGTGTAATATTTGATTTCATTGAATGTTTATTGGGAAGCCCACCAATCATCTTTAGTCGAGACAGGAGCGATGCAGTCTTCGTTAGTGTTTCTCTCAAACCATATATGAGATGTAAGGGCTGTAGGGATGAAGGAAGAAATACAAATATAAGAAGTGTGTGCTCACTGTTGTTTCAGATCTGGTTTCCCTGGGGCTCAGCCTGTGTCCATGGACAGGACAAACCTTCGTTTCATGGAACAGAAACCATACAAAGTCAGCTGGAAGGCTGACGGCACACGGTATGTCTATCCTTCATGACTCTCTCTACAATAATTGACTCCTCATCTACATATATCAATACAAGCATCCCTCTCTGTGCCTCTGATTGGCTTCTCTTGCCATTTGGTAGCCTTCTTTTGAGTAACAATACTTATACAGGGATTTTGTCAGGGTTGTTGATTAACATTTCAGACTGAGAGAAAGCTAACGCGACTTCTGTTTCACATTAGATTTACCTTCATACTCATCAAGCTGCTCAGTAAACGGTGAAGATGTGGGCAGTTGAATTGTAAAATGACTAAGCATGGGGGTGCCAACATAGAATGAGAAATGCAAAAAAGGACTATTTTCTTTCTGGTCACATTTCGGGTTCAATTGTTTTCTCTTGTTTTAATGCTCTTTTGCCAAAAGCCAGTGATGAGGGGGTAAACGTTGTTTAGTATTCCACTCGTGTGCTGTTTCTCCCGCTGGTGAAAATGTTCCGCTGCTGGTGAATATTCACTCACTGCAGTCAATTTCCGAGTTTTACACATCGGTTGCTTATATTTCATGCAAGAGTGAGAAATCCGCAGATAGGGCCACTCACCAAGTTGCTGGTGCTTGAAAGAGTTGTTAGAAAGTTTTGTGCTTGAAAGTGAAGTTGGGAAGTTTTGCTCTTTAATGGTTCAGAGTGATGGTGTGCTCTTCCTCCTCTGCCTGGAGCTCTTGTTCCTCATCCCCAATTACCTCGGGATACTTGAAGAGTCTCGCTGAGTAGTGACGTCTTTTTCTTCAGTCCTGAGATACAGAGAGAGGCAGAATCCGAGTCATCACTCAGCTGCACGATATGCTGAGGAAATGATATACTATCTCCTCAAAATATCAAGATAAATGTGTTATTAGAGACTTACCTTACCACATGAGGAATACAATCATATTTCCTATCATCAAAATAAGATTGGCCAATACAGGAACACCTTCTCTCCTCTAGTAAGGTCAAATGTAATCACAAATGCATCAAAAATACCCGAAAAAACAAACTAAGTGAAGTAAGATATGCAGTCTAGCAATTTTATTTTTCAGTTAGTTCTTTTCATTTTATAATCAGTAGTTGCTAGGCAGGATAATTTATTTAGGAAAATCTATTAATACCCCAAATGTGTGCCTTAAAATATCAAACTGCCATCTTTGGGGTTTTACCTTTCCTGTTTTGTGTTAAACAGGTTTTGGTGCATGTAAATGGTCTCCAAGGCTAAAATCCCAAAGTTGCCCCTAAAGGGAGTTTCCACACTGGTTTCAGACAGGGGGTGAAAAGAGGTGCTGCAACACGTATGAGAAAAATAAATACCTTTTTTGAACATTAAAGCATGTCTACTGTCTATCTCCCGACAGTATGGGTGGAATCTAGATCAACGGAAACAACTCCTAGTTTTGATAATTTAATCCAAATCCAAATAGGTTGTTAACCTTAGAAGAAAAAGGACAACAACAATTAGGATCACACATATCCCATACAACTTAAATCACATTCAATATAATAATCACACTTACTAGTGGCCTCTCCCGATTCCTCAATCTCAATGACGTTCATTTATTTATCCCCTCTATTTATAACATATCAATAAACCCTGCGAATCTCCACCCAGATTTAAAGTCACACTCACATAAACTGAACCCCATTAATTGGACCCTCATACAACCAGCACAAAACACGAGACTGTCATATGTGTTATGAAGAAATCCTAAGAGATACCAGAATTAGCAGTATTGCAGTATTTCCAAGTATTGAGTTGTTTTGTGGACTGATTGGAAATTCCTCTGTGATTCATTTGTAATTTTGGGCTTTATGAAAAAGTTCTATCAACCTGAAGAAATGGCCGCCAGTGAAGCTAGAACCTGAATCTGTGCAATAATCCTCTGTTGTCTCCAAGATCTATTAAAAAAACATCAGTGAGTCACGCTGTTGTCTTCATTTAGAGACATTTGGCTACAGTAGTTCATTTCAAACACTCTCTGGAGCACTAAATATGTATTAATAAATACAATCTACAATAAATAATCGTAATTCACGAGATTAAAGTCGTAAACTTGCTAGACATTTTTTTCTCTCGTAACTTTGTGAGTTTCTTTCTAAGCAAAATGGTGACTCAGATCTTTAATTTACGACTTTCATTCTGCTTTTTATGATTTTTGTATTATATTTTTTGCAGTATGTTGCCCTTATACAGTATACTTCAATAATAAATGAGGCTGCCATTATTATGTATTAACCGCCATCAAGTTTTCTTGAAAATGTATGTCCTAAGAATCGGTGTGCCACGGACAGGGTAAAGAAGTCACAACGTTTTTTGAGACATTGTTGGTTTTTCGTCTTTTTAATGACATTTGTTGACAGCCTTATAGACAGTCCTGAATTGTTTCTCTAAGCTAACATTGGTTTTACATAGTGTTTGGAAATGAAAGACCATGGCTTTTTGTCTCTAGAGCTTTTTTAAACGTATCTTGTAACCAATCTGATACACAACTAGGACAACCCTCCCAGAATCATTTAGACTTTAGTCTCACCAGAACATATTATGCTCCAGTCTAATTTGGAGAGTGTAAATCAGACTAATTTATAAGTTTAATTCAATCACTGCACATGGTGTTTGTGTTAATTTGCAGATGAGAGGGTCTTGGTACTTGAGTTCATAACCTTCTCCTGCTTAGCCTTGAAACTTACATTTCCCGGGAAATCTGGAGATTTGTCAAGGGTGGGGGGGGGGGGTGGGGGGGTTTAGGTTGCCATAAGGCTGTTGACGGTCTTATTATAGGCTACATCCATTGGTTGGTTTTGTGGCACATTTGTAACGCTGTGCCAACTTGGGCAAGCACGCAGGCAAACTTGAGCGCACACAGGGTGGAGAGGTGGAGCGATGGAGAGAAAGGGAGAGAGAGAGATTGAGCGAGGCAGAGAGCATGTGCAGCGGTCTGCTTGCGCACAGAGCAGGAGTTTGAGAGAGAGCCGTCTTGAGAGTCAATTTCTCTTCAAAATGTAATTGATTGCCAGCCTCCCTTGTCCCTGGCTGGCTTGCTATCTCGTTGTAATGTAACTGATGTCTTCTAATGTGCCTGCATCTGGCGCTGAGTTGCCATATTCCTTTCAAGTGTATAAGTGTGAACCACTTCCTGATATCCATTGTTGCAGATAAATATAAATGATAATAGCCAAACTAACCTAGCAAGCGTAAACTGACAGGCTGCTGTGCCGCATCTCACTCAAAAACCCACACGACTCAACCCAGCGAAATACCAGTCTCGCGCACAGCCTTTCATTCAGAATTTCATTCAGAATTTCATAGCAAAATTTAAAAAATGATATTAAACTAATCTTTCAACATAGTTTAAAACAACAATAAATATTAGGACAAAGTACAAATAACAACAATAAACATAATCAGTGGCGGCTCCAGAGTATTTGTGTTGGGTAATCTCTGGTAGGGCTAACCCATACAGTGGTGGGGCTCAAGTCAGTATTTGCAATGTAATTACATACCCGCTCCCCTTGACAGTGAAACGCCACGCGTGAGGTTTAGATTATTTCCCTGTCTCAATCCAAATTGAACTGTATGAAACAAAAAGGCACATTTGTCTTGTAGTAAATAAAAAGGGCGACCTGGAGCCAATCCTGCAATTTCCCCACAAGTGAAAGAGTTGACATGCTGAAAACCCAACCCCTGCAGGGGGGTCTGGGGGGATTCTCCCCCAGGAGATTTTTTGAAATACTAACATAAAATACACATTCTGGTACTCTCTTGAGAAGAAAAATAAATAAATCTATTACTCCACGACATATTTAAATGAATGGTATTTTAGTTTTGTGTTACTTTGTTCTGAAAGCTGAACCTGCTGCTCCTCACAGAGAGAAGAGGGAAGAGGCTGTGAATGACTTTACATTGTGGATAAGGGTGGATAGCCCCCATTGTTCTGTGTGTCAAAATGAAAGACAGCCCACACACCTATCAATCATCAAACCGTGGAGTCTCATTTCATTACAGTATGTGTTGATTTCTATCAACACGTAATGTTGTATCGATGTATATATAGTAGGGCTGTCAAGTTAACGCGTGTGTATTTTTTGTCCTCGGCCGCCCCGTAGTTTCAGAGCGCATCGAGTTTAAAATACCATCTACAAGCTGATGCTGACAGCCCCGCTTCTGCCGCCCGCTTGTGGCAGACCACACTTCCACGCTCACCGGCAGGCACCGACTGGCCATCTGGAGGACCGGGAGGGTGTGTGTATGTGTGGCCCGAGCGAGCGAGAGAGAGACCTTACGTGCATTGTTGTTGTTAGCATCTGGTGCTAGCTAGCTGCGCTAACGGATATGGAGCTGTTTAAATGAAAACAGAGGAGCGACATTTCGCCACAACTGCGCCGAGCACTTGACTTTATGCAGGAAGCCAGACAGTGGGACATTGTACGAAAAGTCAGCACACTCAGCACGGATAGTGCGCAACATGATTGCAGCGTCTAGGCAGCTCCCTCCCGTTCGAGCATATGCCTTGAGTTGCACATAGCTCCAACGATCCATCACACACACACACACACATACACACACACACACACACACACACACACACACACACACACACACACACACACACACACACACACACACCATTTGTATTGTATTATTGTATGAGAGAGGTTCCAGGTTGAATTGAGGCGAATATTTGTAATGTTCAGAGGTTGTTGTGTTTAATATTCATGAGGATAGTTGTCATTGTTCAAATGATAATAAACATTAGCATAAAGCATATTTGTCCACTCATATGTTGATAACAGTATTAAAAACTTGAAAAATATTCCTCTAAGGTACATTTAGAACAGATAAAAAATGTGCGATTAATCGGGATTAACTATTTTAATCGACTGACAGCCCTAATATATAGATTTACTACAGCAAAAGTATTCTCCGTCGGGACTTCCTGCAACAACACCACGTAGTTATCGTGATTCTGATTGGCCAGAAGACATTATCAAAGATGTTCTATTGAGAAG